CGAAGAAAATATTTCTCATTCTTCTTCTGTTTAGATCAAAATTTCCCAGATTCTCGGTATAGTTTGAGCTCTGCATATTTTCGTGCAGATTGGTTATGCTGTTCATTGTGCATAATATATAATTTCAAGTCGATATATGTATCCTCTATTCACTGAGATATGTTTTCTCAATTTCGAAATTAATACTTCAACACTCTGTTTCTCAGTTAGGAGCCATTGTAAGACCCATGTTTATATGACTTCGTTGTTACATTCGAGCGTACCTTCTGCCCTAGAAACTTTGACACTATTTTTGAACCACCGTGTATACCGGGTGGGTTTCGATCATATCATTTTTCTTCGTCATTGCTTTTGGATATCCCCCTGATGATACCCTTGGGTTCAGTTGTGGCATGCTCTGCACCTCTTTGCAACTGCGTAGCAAATGACATCTGCACTAACATGTCTAGTGATTTTTTGCTACTAAATGCAAATACAGATATTCTATATTTATGAATCACTAATACGTCCAACATATTTTTGTCTCACATTTTGATATTCTGGGGCAAATACATCCCTTCCAACACAATGATTCCGATCCACAAACAACAAACCTTTGTTACTTGTTAGATGACCAATTTGTCTATCTATGTGCCGTGGCGCAAATATCTATTTCCATTAAATTCACTGACGATACTGCAAACATATTGTAGCTTGGTTATCAACGTTACGAGAATGCACTACCAGCAATTGTCATAGGGATCTTGGTCTGTATCATTACCTCTTCAATTTCCATTTTAGATATGGTTCTCATTGTTCAGTAAATTTTTTTCTTTGTGAAATCCATGTATTTGGTCATACAACTCGTTTGTACTCCACAATACACGTGCAGTGCAGCATACTTATCTGTGACCATTTGTACATAAACAAACATGGTCTATGTAACAATGGGTAATGTTTTGAAATATAAACTTACTGCATTCCTTGTGGAATGTCCTTATCAGGAATAATAGTTGTTTCTCCCTAAAGCTCAAATTAAGAGTGTTATCTTTTGAAAAAACACATTTTTGTCAGATTTGTTTACCTTTTGGTTCACAATTCTAAACTGAGTAATCCGAAGAGAATGTTTTATCTGGACCGGAAGTTAAAAAAACTGTCGGTCAGCTCTACAGAGGGAACATCTTTAATTAAATGGTATATATATCCTTTTTATATTAGCGTGCTCATCCGGTTTTGTTTTACAAAAGCAAGAATGTTCAGTTTTCAAATTATCTGACCTGGTTCCTGGTTATTAAATATTCAGTTATTGAAATAGAAATGGAAGTATGATGAGCCACCCAGCATTATTTAATGTAGACGTTTGACATGAGACATAATCAAATCATACCGTATATGCAGTCGCTAAAAGTCAAAACAAAACTATTGGTAATTGTTACTGGTGTGCACGTGCTGCTGCCGATGCAGTCTGTTTGGCTCCCGTGTTGTCAGATTTCAAACCGTATTTTCAAGATACTGTTATCCAAATTGTGTACTATGGATTAACCAAAATGAATAACTAATGGCCATATTTTTTTTATATAACACCGACTAATCGCGAGAAAAACATAATTATTTCTTTTTCTAGATTCATTCATTCATGAATTCTCCTTGTTTCCAATGTCAATCTAAAATCAAAACTTGGTGAAATAAGGGTTCAGGGTCGGCCCCGAAAATAACTCTAATTTCAAGTTAGTCGCATCTAAGACATTTTTGATCTAAATGTTTTAGAACATACGTTTTTTAAACTTTCATCAACCTTTTTCTTTTTATTTTAGAACTTGATTGTTTTTAAAAGCCCAAAATTCGCAATTATGGAAAATTTGAGTTATTTTCTGTGCCTGATCCTGTGCGAATAGCCAGAAAAGTACTGGAGCTGTTCATGAATATTAGATATTTAAGGTTAAAAAATTCTTGACACAAGCTTACCGCTGATGGCAAAGCTTTAGGTCCTTATGAACCATTTTTTATACTCCTATCATAAAAGCACGGAGCAATAAACGCCCATACTTCGTGCCCGGTGCCCACTGATCATTTAAAAAAATAAAAGAATCAAAACGTTATGGATGAATCAAGATAAGGATTAATTTCTGTATGTGTGATTGCATTTCAAATGTTTCGTACCAATTAACGCCATTCAAATTTTTGCATGTTGTACATTTGAGGGCATATTAACTTTATTTGAAGATGTCATCCATTTTGTCAACTTCCAAACGACTTTCAGTAAATTGACGGATTATATTAGGTATTTTGAACCAGATATATTCGACGGTATGAGAAATTTGGACTGAGATTTATTCGGCCTTTTTTATTTGAGTGGCGAATGAGGCTTGATCTACCGTTGGATTTTGAACGAAGTACATTGCGCCCTTAAGTTCTGTAAATTCTCTGGATTCTTTTAATTCAAACAAAATTTTCGAAATCTCAAGTTTTCATAAATTTCAGGACTTAAGCATTGATTTCCCCAAACCAAACGAGTTTTGGTGAAGAAAGTAAAGTAAGATGATCAAGTCTGGTCTCTAGGCGGTGTGGACTGAACCAGTGTTGCCATTAATAATTCCTTTGATGCTCCAGCTGTGTAATAATCGTGGTAATATGTGTGATGTACTGCCAAACAATGCAATTTGAATGATATTAATTCGTAACATAAGTGTAAATAGATATGATATGGCAACGCAGTATTCGGTGAGCAAGGCGCGTCGCAAGTCACTAGGTCAACGGCCCCCTCCTCCGATATGTCGCTGCCTCTTGGAGATGTTTTCCAGGCTCGCTTGAGACTGTGGCAGCCAGCGTCGAGAGCGCGATTCCGACGCCAAGCTTCATATGCGTACCAGATGGGGACATACGTAGAATACCTGCTTAGAAAATATCGTTTTACAATAAATGCTTTCAGGGGTGTAGCAGAAGAGAAAGAAGTACAATCAACGACGTTATAAACAAAGCGCAATCGCACAGCAATCCGTTACGTGAGTCGAGCAAATTCGCAAGCCGCTCACACTGTGAACAAAATTAAAAATGCAATTTTAGATTCACATATAATTTATTTAGCATTTTTTCCATTTTGGATTGTTTTGAAATTCCAAAATACTAGTTGACTATGCGCGACCAACTCACTTTCTCCCTCTCCTTCTTTATCGCTGACTTGGTCTAATATCTGGGCAACCAGACCTGACAGGTCTAGTCAGGGGCGGTTCCTGGAGGTCTGGACCCCCGAAGTATCAAAAAATTCGAAGGTGTTTTTCAATTTGCAAACGACCCTCCTCTCCAATCTTCAATAGCCGATACCCTCCTCACGAGAAGGACATCTTCCTGAGACCATCCCCTACCCTAGCACTTTTTTAGCGCAAGGTTACAAATTCATTATACGAGCCCCTTCCCAATTCATTTGGCCCACTTCAAGATTTGTACCGAAATATGCCTTAATAAACTAAACATGACGAAACTATTTACTTCTAAAACAATTTATTTTCTCAAAAACATTTTAGATACACTCTAGTCGTAAAAAATACATACATATTTGAAATCACTTAGACCTATAACACATAGTGTTAACCAACTTTTGCCAAAAATTTGGTGTAAAACAATCCCATATTTCTTGAAGCATTTGACTCAGTTCGGTGATTGTACGAGCAGGATTTTGTCGTAGAACCTTTTTCATCTCGTGCCACAAAGTTTCAATAGGTGACAGATCTGGACTGGTACAAACCCATTTCAAAAGTGGTACATTATTTCCTTCTATCCGTTTTATAGCCTTTTTTGAGGTATGCCACGCTGCACTTTCTTGCTGAAACACAAAATCTTGGCCGGATGTCAAACATTCTTCCATCACTGGTAAAAGCGATTCTTCTAAAATTGCCAAGTATTTGTTTGTATCCACATCTCCAACAATAAAATGACTTTTGATGACATACTGCCCCAGACAATAATGGATGCTAGAAATTTCACTTTTCTCTTCAGACAGTCAACATGGAATGGTTCATTTTTTTTGCGAATACCTCTACTGCGACTGTCACCAACACAAACTTCGAATCGGGCCTCAACACTCCATTGTATTGCACACCATTGTTGAGGTGTCCATTTTCTATGTTCTTTAGCCCATCTAAGCCGATTTTTCTTTTGCAGTGGAGTTAGTAGTGGCTTTTCTTTTGCCTATAAACAAGTTGTGCAACTTTAGGGTTTTTACTTCACTTTTTTTTATAAGAAAACTTACCTTGCAATTGCTAAATCCCAGTTTGTGGGCCTCTCTATGAGTTGTGGACCTCGAAATTCTCCTTCCAACAGCGTCACTCCACACAGCACTTAATTGTAAATAATTGGCACGCCTGTTTTTACGATTATTCTTCTTAATGCTCTTCGGTCGGCATTTGTGATATTACTTTTTTTCAGATATCGTGGCTGAATATTAACTGAATCAGTTACGTTATATCTTGTAACAATATTTCTCACAATGTACCGCGATAAGTCTAACAAAGTTGTAATTTCTGAGTTTGCTTTCCCAGAATTAAAAAATTTAATTATCAGTAACCGAATTTTCTCACTAATAACCTTTCCTATACCCATTTTGAAAACCTTAACTACCCAAAACTATTTTAAACGTATTCTGACAGCTGTGATTAATAAAAACAATTGTCATGGCTTTTATTTTTCACAGCCACCTATGCGTTATAGACCTATTTTGCATCGAAATGAAAATAGGTTGTTATGCTGTAATTGCAACATGTGTTATTTTTATGCTGCAAATTTGATTAGGGAGTGATAAAGTTGGTGTGTTCTACTATTTATTATCAAAATATTCATTGTTAATACACCCTGCTACATTTTTATTATTTGTGTTTGATAAGAAAAAAACTAATATTTCAATAGTTGGGCCAACTGAAGTGGGAAGGGGCTCGTATATGGACCCCCCAAAAAAATAACTTTTAGATCCGTCTCTGGACCTACTCATAATAATAATAAACGTCTTTTGTTTGTAATATTCTTACAGGAGGCGAGATTTAGATAATATATAAAATCAAAGAAGGCAATCCTCAAAAAGTCATCAAGAAGTCAGAAGCTCATCAAAAATTACCACTGGCAGAACCGAAATTCGATATCTCAAGAAACCGGTAGTCATCAAATGGGTGTGGGTTTTAAGGTATTTGTGTAACAAAATGTATATTTACTCAACCCTTCTCACCATGTAACCATTAAAGTCCATGTACAAAGAAATATACCTACTCTTTTAATATTATATGTTATATGACCTTACAATGAACTTGAATATCCAATAGGGAATAGGTCCATAAGAACTTTTTATCAAGAATAACAATCATTTTTCCATGTTCTTCACTGAGGAAGTTAATTTACATTGCTCATAACGTAGAATTTATGTAATAAGGGACATCGAAAAACAAGAACTATAAAAACTTTCATGACGTCTATTTTCTGGCACAAGTAAAAACTTAGGGGAATATTTTCAAACTTCATTTTCAACGGCCGGCAATAATCAGTTTGATCGAATATCCCTGTCAAAAGCTAGACAGCTACGACACTGGGACACATGTATTGCTTTCTGGTAAAATAATCAACGGTAGCGACGTTGGCGTTGGGTGAGGCTCTGGCTGTAGACCGTAGAAATCTACACGCGGCTGTTAAATTGTTTTACCACATTCCCAGAGTTTCCACCAACCAATACAGACAACAGTCATTCCTTTTAAATGATAAGGCTTGTCACCATACTAAGGCATATTCAAACGGATTATTCATCCTGCATATTGCGGTCAGTGATGTGAAGAGTGGAGGTATACGTCTTAGGGCATTGTGGCCAGTAGTACTGAGAATGGCAAATCACTTTTATCAGAATTCTTTCCCTAACTGATTGGACTAAGGATTAGTACCATTGATGTTCGGGACCAAAAAGGCCCGACTGGGATTACCGGAGATCCCATTACGATTACCTGCAGGGACGGATCTAGAAAATATTTTGGGGGAGGGTCCCTATGATGAATTAGAATTTTTTTGAGCGGAGGCTCAGGATTTATGTCCAAGAAGAGATCCGTCTCGAGGTATCGGCAATTGAAAAATGAAGAGCGGGGAAAAAGACTATCTGATGCATCAGTGATTCTTAGAGCGAATGCCCGTGAGACAATAATTGTAGAGGGTGTGTATCTGCAATTGAAAACTGAAGAGCTGGGGATATTTGTCTGCAAATTTGTTTAAACTATGATATTTTGGGGTTGATGGTCCGGTAGGTAGTAACACATTCTCAAATTTTGTTTTAGGTTCCAAACCTGGAAAACCAGACTAGTCCGCATCCCGCAGTGATCTGCTGAACCCCTGACTGCCTCTCCTCTATTATAGTTTAGAATACTCCTCAGCATTGATTAACATATTCCACCAGAAGGGACCCAACCCAATTTTGAAAGCTTTTCCCGCGCGAAAGTATATGTACAGTGGTGCTTCCAACCACAACTATATACCTATCGACCACCGCCCTTTAGCCCTCAGCGTTGATGTCATGTTTAAAAATAAACAATTTTCTTGAAAGTGAACGTCCAAATACATCCTATGGTTGGGCACCTTTTTGAAAAATACCTTGTTCAATGTATACCAGGGTGGCCACGGACCCAAACTACTCAGTTTTCTCATTTTTTTATGTTTCCATAAAGACATATCAAATTGTCCCCAAACTGAAAAGAAAAGATAAGTGAGAAAAAAGTGCAACACCCTTAACGTTGCTTCTCACATCTGTTATTCAGAAAATATTGTAATTGTGAAATATTCTGAATACAGTAATGTTTTCTGGGATCTGGATTATATGTAAATCACAAAACACCATGTGTATGCCACTAATTTTATATTCTATAATTTGGATAGTATACTGTTCAGATTTTGGTGAAACATTAGTATTATCATGTCATTGTACATTGTGAAAATATGTCGAGCGCCTGCGCAGTTATGAACGAAAAATGAAAAATCACAGAACTTTTTCGACATTCCTGAGCTTTCTGGTTAAACCAGGCATTTTTCACATTTTTCCTCTTGCCTTAATTACTCGTCCAGTTTCCGTGCGACTAGTCTTTCAACTAGAGTTAAACCATTGAGTGGTCTACTGAGTCAGTCTACTCGACTCCACATAACATGACAACGCCAAATATTCTGTGTATCTGTATATCTGTCGGTCGTTCTGTCCGCTAATCCCTGGCCCGTCTATAATTTGGAAATTACCTGGCGGATTTGTACATCTTTCACATAAAGTTACTACTATGCCAAGGACGAATGATCGTTGTAGTTTTGAATATCGGTTCACTGACAGAGGAGCTACAGGCAAAAAAACGAAGAAAACACAAATCACTTAAACTCGTCTTTAATGTTTCACGGGCTGATCATTTCCGGGAAACTTTTTTATGGGTTAAAAATGGGAGTTCGGAGTTGTTGCGGGTGGGGGGAGGCTATGACTCATTTTTTCATATTTCCAACCCCCGTAATTATACACACATATTAGACATATTTCACATATAATTGATTTACCCGTACATTTCGCCTTTAAACACACATAAATCTATACCTCTTTATCCGACAATCATTGAAATTTTTTAAGGTGCAACCGTACCTTACTCTACTTTTGGTTTATGTTTAACCATTCTTACGAAATAGTTATAAAGTTCCGTTTAATAATCATGTTCTTAGTCCCCCACCCACCCTTAAAAACGTCAGTATTACTCATTTTTTTCCGTCTGAAATATTGGTTTTTCTCAGGTCTGGGGCCACCTTAATGTCCACAGTTAACATATGACTCATACATCACTATGTTTATTTGAGAACTGGAACATTTATCCGCTTCAATGCTGCTGTATATATTACGTTACACCTGTAACTGAATTGTATAAATAAACTTTTCGCACCCTGTAAACAAGCAATAATTTATTTGAAATGCTGATGTGCAGTGGCTGCTTAGAATATTTATTGCATTGTGTCGGATTGTAAAAAAAATTAAATCATCCAATTATTTGTTGGCTTCTAATAAACATCGTTTGCCGCTTTATCTTCATTATCTCCTATTGTTGCAATAATTAGTATTCAATTGGAATGGAGCTATGTTTATGTAAACATTAATCTTATTGACAGCTTTTGTACAGAGTTGCGTATCATTTTATAGTAGGAGAATCTGTGAATCTACAGTGGGGTTAGACTGATAAGGAGCATTAGCAATATTTGGTTGCTTCAAAATGAAGAAAGATACCAGAAAATTACTTGAAAAAAGGGAGGGCTGTCGACGCTCCTACGACAAACTTGACGCAATGGAACCTTAGCTGCTCCACTTAGGAGGTTATATTTGAGGGAGCTTTAAGAATGATAAATCGGGAGGTGTAAAATTAAGAAATGCGTACTGCGTACATTCATCATTTTTGTATCATTGTATAATAGTAATAATAGGCAGTTTAGAGCAGAAGGCATAACACAAAAGTAAGAAGCTCGTCTTAAATGTCTGGAAGCTGAAAACCTATTCACAAAGATACAAATGTTTAACCCATTTATTCAGGATCTTTAAGAGATGCGACATTTCAACAGTTAAATGTCTTCTTCCTAAACATTTCCACAAACTTCTGTCAAAATTTGTAGAGAGTTCTCCTACTTAGAATATCACGCGGATATTTAAAACGATTTTGACCATTTATCTACTACAAGTATTTATGGGAATATTTGGATGGAAATAAACTGACAGTTTATTTTTAATATTTATAGCAACTTGGTTACTATCCAAGGTACAGTTTAATTTGAATTTATACATTTATTCAAATGTTTACCAGTAATTACATTATTAATAACACTTGATTAGTATGTAGCATCACCTTTCATTTCATTCATATTTTTCATTCCTATGGTTTAATATAAGATGTCGTAATGTATTTTCAGTTACACTATAACTTTGCTTAAACCGTATTTATATTACTAGATTAAACTTTGTCACACTAGAGTCATATTTACTCATAAAATTTAGTACCGCGATATCTTCAGTATTATAATGTATCAGATTTTATTCGTTAAAGCTAGTTGCGACTTTCTTCAGGATTCATGTTGCTTATGAAACTGGTTCAGTATCGTAAAACTTGCACATGCGTGATGAAGCTGGATATGTTGCGAAACTAATTTTGTAATGTAAATCCGATTTCAGAGTCCAAAACTTCTGTAAAAGTAAGGTGCGGCGATTTTTTACCTTGCAACCCAACTCATAAGTACATATTTTTAAATAATTTAAAATATATTGACCACTCTTTAGGAATGTGTAAACATATTTTATATCTCTATTTTATATCAGATTACATAATTGTTCTAATACGATAATTAAATGCTCCATAATTGCGTTATTTACTCTACTACAGAAATATTTATGACATAGCATACGGTCTATGATATCTATGATATAATGGAAGGTATTTTTTATACACCGGATATGGTAGCGCAGTTCGATTAAATTTCATTTTTTGTACAAATTGTAGGGAACTGGAATACTTAAAGCGTTCACCTGCCATGTGGCAACTTCATAATCAAAAAATTAAAACTAGATCACTAATTAGAGTGCTTTAGGCGTATTTTAATATGTTCTCTGTTATTCCAATTTGTCAAATGTTAAAGGAGCAAGAGCAAAATATATGTGCGTTCACTAGTCAATAATTTTGTGTTTCCAAAATTATCATGGACTTTTATCATACAAAGTATTGAGGAGGGTGACAAAACCTGAAATGTTATGTCACTTATTGTTAAAATGTCACTATTCCGCAGCGGATCCTGATAATTATTTAACTCCTACGCTGATTTCTTGCCTTAATTGCCAATATCAATTTCTTTTTGCTAATTCTATATGTTTCACTAAGACTAAAAGGCCTGGACTGTCCACACTTGTGTTAATAATTATACCGTTTTCACTTGGGTCACCTTAATAATTAATAGTCTTCTTAAAATATTAGTATCAACAGATACTGTTTATTGGCATACTAGAATATCAATTAGTTTAAGACTTGTAATAAGTAAGTAGTAGTAGTAGGCAGGGACTATCAAATACAGTCATCCAAACTAAATGATGATATGATGTAGCCTAGCTGTGGACTGAACTGGTCTGGTCCTTATACATAGATTGCACCCAGCTATGCAGTTTAAAATTGCACATGTGCATAAATATTTCTGCGATTTCGTTATTTTTAGTGTGATATGTTCTATATATAAACGATATTGTTTGGATTCGGAAAAATTTGTATCATATGGAGACAGGAAAACAAATCTTTTGGTGTGGTGCCGCGCAAATATCTCTCGACTAAAAATACACCCTTTTTGAAACACAAACGATTATTTATATTATTCATTCAAAAATGTATACGTCGCGAGGCTTCTTTTGATTTCAGACCACGAGAATCTAAGTGGATAGTAATGGAACTCTAGCAGAAATACTTTGAGGAACTTTGCTCCAACTATTCTGGTGAATGTAATTCTTGGTTCTGTAACAATTTGTGGCATATTCACTATAAGTCATTTGCTAAAGCAGAGGTGCGATTATGGATCACTTGGCTATAGAGATTTTTTCGCGAGATCCCGGAATGAATGGAGCGGGAACAGATGGAATTTCCCCTCCCTCTCGAAGTTTTGACAGTTTCAAGTTACACCGAGAGTCGTTAGATGGCGCATGTTGCGCAAAATGTTTGCTTTAAGCTCCTTGATAAGCTTAGCTGCCTTGTTTGAATCTATAATAAAAAGACCGATCGTTTTTTGTGCAATGTACATATTATATATCAATAAAATCAATCATTTGATATGCGGTTCATATAATATATCTTCGATGACCTTCTCCCTCGTCATTTAAAATCAGGTGGACGTGTTCCTCCATTTATGATTTAATAATTTAACACAATTTTCGGCACTGCCAAGACAAATTTTCAATTGAGATGTCTAGTTTTTTAAATGACATTGACATAAGACCTGTCACCCTCACAGACGTTAGGCAGGTACCCGTACCACGTGATTTTTTGACATTCGGATGATATCACATCCGTCTTCCCCTATTCCCGTTCTTCGCGAAAATTTGAGTATCGGTGCTACACCGAGCACTCGCGAAAAAATCCTTAATGTAATACCGTATTCAGTAATGTAGATTGACAGATGAAATTTTACCCTGGAATACAGTGAAACTTTATTTTTGGAACGCCTAAATTATTACAGAGCCATGTAATGACACTTGATGACAGGCGACTAATTTATAACCAAGTTTTCTGCGTCCATTGTAGTTATTAGATAAAATCACTAGATGTTGAGTTATTAAGCTTTTACATACCAAAATTAAGGAAAAAATCACATCGTGGAAACAAAAGACGAACAGTGGACTAGTTTCATATTGCCACTAAGAGTACAGATTTGACGTAAAAACTAATAACAATCGTAACAGTTTAAATCAGCTTTAAGCGTAATAGAGAAAAACAACTATAACAACAACTATAACAAACAACTATCACTACTCAAGACCTAATCTACAAAAACTGCTCGAAAATATCTCCACCATGTTGAATATACAGCCGTAGTCTTGATATATGGATAAATGACCGTTGCACATCCCTCGGCATGTGTTCCCTTATGTTCAGGAAAGCATCCTTAATCCTTTCCTTCATATGTTCCGGGGTAAATGGTTTATATCTATAAACCTCTTGCTTAACGTAGCCCCATGGAAAGAAGTCCATCGGTGTGATATCTGGTGATCTAGGAGGCCAAGATATAGGCCCATCACGACGGATCCAACGATTACTCCAGGTGTCCGAATAGTAACGCACACGATTATGATAATGCCGATGCGCCGTCATGTTAGAAGTACCTAAATGAATCCTCCAAAAGCAAACGCAAATGCTCGATCAAAAAATTCAAGTATTCTGTACCTGTTAATCTGCTGTCGAAAAAGAAAGGCCCGATAACTTGTCTTCCAATATTCCAAACATTCAAACTCCATTTATTTTGGAAATCTATTTGTCTAACCCAGTAAGGGTTTTCCGTCGCATAATAGTGCATGTTATGCCTGTTGACAATACCTATGCTGTTAAAAGTTACCTCGTCGCTAAAAAGAACCTTATCTAGGAAAGTAGTGTCTTCGCTCACTTTATTTAGCATTATTCTACTGAACTCCATTCGAGCTGCGAAATCCTGACGACGAAGGCGTTGATGCAAGCATAGGTGATATGGATGGTACCTATGCTTGTGAATAATCCTTTGGACAGAAGTTCTACATATATCAGTCTCTGCTCCAATTTGCCGACCACTTAAATGGAGATTTTCCTGAGAAGAGACCTTCAACTGATTCCCCTCATTGGTGACTCTTGGATTATTTATACATTTTTTACTATTTTCCACTGCTCCACTTGATTCAAAATGTTCTCGTAGTGTGGAAAAGGTTTCCAGCCTTGAATGTCGCATATTAGGGTACCGTTGCTTATAAAAGCGAGATGCTAGGAAACTATTTCTTTGGGCTTCGCCCAAAACGAACACCATATTCACCATGTCTTCTTTGGAAAAATTCATTTTCACACATGCTTTTATTTTAGTGCTCAGAAAGCTAATTTTGACAGTTTGTAACTAATCAACAATTTATTTGTTTCCAAGGATGATGCGATATTTTAGGGAATTGAGCCGTTCTAAAAAAGACGTACTAATAACCGTAAAAATAGCCATAAAAACCCTTATGTGTCTAGTATCGAAAAAAGCTTATAAAAAATTGAATCCAAACTTGCAGAGAAAAACTGCAATTTGCGTTTTTAACCACCCTGTATGAGCAAAAATTAAAATTCTAAAAAGTAACAAATAAGGTGTGTAAGTAATTTTTGACTTTTTGACTGAGGGCTTGCCGAAGTGGGGCGTTTTTCTAGACAAAACACCTTATATCTCAGTAGCTACGAGGGATTTCTTCAGTTTTGCATATAAAAACATAGTAGGCTGCGCGGATCGAACGTCAGTACTGAATCTTTAGTAAACTTAAATTCAAAGTTTCACAACAATACGTGCAGTGTTCTCACTACAGTGAATTTTTAAGTGTCACCAAGTCATTAGAAAAATGGAACTCAACCGAGAACATTTTCGCGCCATAATTTATTGCAACTTTCAGAGACAATTATCGCAACAAGAATGCCTTGCTGAGTTACTGTCTGTTTTCGTCAACGAAGCGCCACATCAGTCGACAATTTCCCGTTGATATGGAGAATTCAAACGTGGACGCGTGAGTCTTAGCGACGATCCTAGGGTGGGTGCACCAAAAACAGCAGTCACTGAGGAAAACGTCGATCCTATGCGCAAACTCATCATTGAAGATATACATGTGACATATCGCGAGATTGAGGCGTCCTTGAAGATCTCAAAGACCTCAATTCCAAAAATTTTACATGAAGAATTCGGAGTAAGAAAATTAGTTTCTCGTTGGATACCCCACCTTTTGACTGAAGAGCAGAAAGCAGCCAGGGTTAATTGTTGTCAAAAAACGCTTGACCGTTTCAATTCCGGAAACTCAAAAAATGTGTACAGCATTGTTAGTGGTGATGAATCGTGGATTTACTGTTCTGAACCAGAAAATAAACTGCAGTCGGCTGTTTGGGTGTTCCAAGGTACAAAAGCCAACAAAAGTCATCCGTTCTCGAAGTGTTTCGAAAAAGATGGTCGCGACATTTGTGTCAAAAGCGGGTCATTTTTTTTTGTAATATCTAGCTAAGAAACTTGTATCCAGAGGTTTTGTTGTTTTCGAGCACTCAGTATGGAAGCCGAGTACCGTCCACGTTGAGTCCGATTTCATTGCTGCTAGCCATGTTGTGTTTGTGTGTTTGTACTGCCGGCAGTTGGGCAGACATTTTATCTCTGATTGTCCCGCTAGAGCACTACTTTAAACCTTCGGTACTCACCTTGCCCATGATTATGATATAGAAATTACATATGACATTGTTTTTTTTTGTTCCAGAAATATCAAAAGTTAGGGCGAGTTTATTTCAAATAAATGGAGTGAAGAAAGAACCGTTACTGTTACCAGAGCCTGAGGGTCCAGTCACAACGCTCACAGAAAAAGTATATGTACCAGTCAAAGAACATCCAGATGTAAGTCCTTGAAATTGATTTCTATTCATTTACTTTTTACCATTACTCTTTTAATCCTCCATTATTGCTCATGATATGACATTGTCCAAACCATAAAATGTAATGCGACTATCCTTAAATGTCTAGCAGAAATAACTCTGAAAGTTTACATAATGGTACATTACGTACCTTACTGAAGAAGTATGCGATTATTGACCGAGTACCTTTTTATCCGACAATTTTGGCAAAATTGATTTTTTTTCTTTTAATGTTTCCCTAATACTAAATATTTGTTTCTTGTTTTGTTTCTCTGTAAAAGTCTTCTATGACTATGGGTATTTAGCTACTTATGTATGCTACCGCGAGGCTGTGCAGACGAAAATGATAGTAAGTCTAGTTTTTGCTGACTTTGAATGAATGTACTGTACAATAGCACAAGTGTGGTAAGTAGATCCGATGGGTAATCTAGAATCAGACAAAGCAAGACGTCTTAACTGTCTTTGCTGTTCAGAAACGCAGTCAAATTTTTATTGAGTAGACATGGTTTGCATCAAAATATCTAAAAGCTACTGGTTGTTTTGCGTGTAATTCTCAACCGAAGTTTGAGGTAGATCAACATAGCCTTTGTAATTGTGTACATGATAGCAATCATCCAAATACCCAATAAGTTGAAGTAGGTACCTCTGTTTGAAGGAATGTTTCTTAGTAACTTGGCTTACTGAAAATGAGCTCTTAATATTCTCTGAAACTGGCAACTCAAGTTACAAGTTTTTTTATTGAAAAAGCAGATCTGAATCCATTCGAGTTTAGAATTTTCCAAAGAAATTTACATATTTTTTTTAACTGCTAGTATGGTTTTTAGAAGTTTTTTGTATGTTGTGAAAGCATGTCACCACCCAAAAGTTTTAAGTGAGAGCAGACTTTCCCTGGGGCAGAGGCTAAATATAGTACACAAAACTATACTAAATATCCAAATTCTAAAAGACAGCCGGATTCCGGAAGGAGGGTCGGTTAGAGGCACGGGCTCTCTGTACGCTCAAAAGCAATATGAATGATACGAGTATGCCAATGGGACATTCACATACCATTTACGCATCAATGAAGAGGCACGCGAAACCTCACAGTTGCGTGTAAATATTCGACAATTTGCAACATTTTTCTAGAACCCAACGTTGAATCAACGTCATATATTTGGGCATAGTGCACATTGCATACACAGATGTTTGATTCCCAGTTAATCTGATTGTTCTGACTCTAGATGATATACCTGTGTTTTCGACTACTTCCCCGCTATTAATCCATATATAACCGTTTTCCCTTTTATACAATGTTTTTCATCATAGCATCTTCTAACGTTGATTAATTCATCATGTGAAACATCTTAAAATACATGTATGTGATATTAGTTTTTTTGATCATTTTGACTCCGCAGTTTACTGTGCATTTGATTACCCATTCAAAATTGAGGAATTCTTCTCATTCGATTCGGCATAAACATAACAAAAATATATTCCAGGAAATAAGATTGAACGAAAATAGTGACGCAGACTCGGTGCGTGGTTTATTTGAGCTGAAATCAGAGAATGATTAATTGGTGTTAGATGAACATTTTCTAAACTCGCTTTTATATGACATTCTGATGTTGCTGTATGATATAATGATTTTTGCAACTAATATATTGACTACAAATTCTCTTTGAAAGTTTCCTGTTATACCGAACAGCAGTAGTAAATAATAAAAAACAAATATAAATTGAACATTTGGATGTTATTTTATATTGTTTCCCCAATTCTTGTTTCAGTTCAACTTCGTAGGAAGGATTCTGGGCCCCCGAGGCATGACAGCGAAACAGTTGGAGCAAGAAACGGGTTGTAAAATAATGGTCCGAGGGAAAGGATCGATGAGAGACAAAAAGAAGGTAAGAAAACCGTTTGAGTGTAGTAATTCTTACGATCTGTGGACCTCTATTCTTGAGTTTGAGGGAGTAGAAATTGTGAGAGAAAGTGTCAAAAAGTGGGTGTGACCAAGAAATGCAGTATTCTTGAAATCAATTCTACCGGAAAGTGATAGAAGTGAATTCACTTTAGGGAGTCGCGATTTCTCTTGGTACCGACCAAGAGACACTGGAAAAATTAGTAGAAAATAGCGTTATATAACCTAAAAATTGACGTGTTTGGCATTGTTATTTTCGTTTCTGCTAAACATATTGCAAAAAATGGTTAATTTCAATCAATTGATGTATTGGAACGATATTATTGACGAGGATGTAGAGGAGGCAGCTGAGGAATGGGAGATTGACAGAGATATTCTTGGGCACCAAGATCTTTTCATAATTTCAGATCGAAAATGTGTACATATGTTTAGGTTGACCAAAGATTTGGTGTATGAATTGCTGGAGATATTGACTCCATTCATACAACCTCCCCCATGAGCTTCTGCACTTTCGATCACAACAAAGATATTAAGTTTTAGTCATTCTAAAACAGTACCTTTAAACCTATGATTGAATTTTCCCTGGTGCATTCGGGGGTGCTCTCGGAGAAAGTCAATCACTGTGTCCTTTTGTTCATTTGAAATGTATTTTTAAAGTTTTTGGCACCGTAGATAAAATTAGGATGAAATCTTGACCAAAATCTTTGGTTAGTTTTTTTACAGTCAAAAATATCTCCATTTTGATTGGTTTAACACGTTTATTCAAACCTGACAATCCTGTGTCTTGATTTCCTTTCTCCTTTCTATCGAGTCCTTTCAAGAATACAGTATTTTCAAATCGATAGAAAACCGGGGGAGTAAAAGAGGGGTAGTGTGATTTTCTATTAAAATCAAGAATAGAGGCACTGGAAAAATACGATTCCGGACAGTACAGATATTCCGATGTTGGCTTTTCAGTATCAATTAGAATCAATCATTTATCATTCACCCTCCGTACCCTGCTATTGAAGCTTGGATCAGTTTCCCCGTAAGGAGATATGGACTTAATAAAAGCATATTTAATGGACATGGTGTGCAAAATACAAATGAGGTATCATCTCGGGAGTTCTAAGAATTATTAATTTTTATTAAGGAAAAATGCGTCTTTTTTTAATGTATTTTACATAACAGTACATAATCGCTGTATTTGATTCCGATTACCAGAAGTTTGAAAAAGCAATTTTGTTATTTTTTAATTTCATTTGTTATTGACGTTTTATTAAGCGTGAACTGATAACGTGAACATATCCTCTATAAACAAACTTCTTCTTCTTCACATACCACTGCTACCGTAGATTGGAAATCCTCATGGTGACCATAACTTTGTTAGCTGCGCATCTAAAAAGTAAAGTCCAACTACATCTAAACAAGCCTCGTAGGTTCCGTAGCCATGAAATGTTTCTTCTTCCTATGCTTCTTTCCCTTTAATTTTGCCAAGCATTATGCTGCTTCCTGACAGTTTGTATTTTTTATTTCAGTTCTAAATATTCTACCTTTCTTATTTTTATTTCATTTACTAATTTCTAGTAAATCATAATCAACTTCTTTGTACATCCCTGTTATTTTTGCTACTATACTCGAAGCGATTTCAAATTCTCATTCACGTGGTATTACTTTTGTAATCCGCATTTTCCTCATTTAATCAACATGTATCTTGTTCCGAAATCATAACTATTTTCGATCTTTATTTTGGACACCCTGTATATTTTTCTGAACCACCTCTGATTTTCAGTCTACTATAATTTTGTGTTTGCTATGATCCATTTTTTTCACTTATAGGAGTATTTATCCCTAGAATAAAAAAAGTGAAAAGCCCCTCCTTATTATATTTTATGCTTTACCCTGTATAGTGGCATGCAACTGGATGCTCATTACAGTTACATAAAGGGTACTCAAACTCACGGTCGGGCGAGGCCTAATTTGCAACAGACCGTGATTAATAGAGTCTTTTGTTCGAATGTCTGCTGCTATTCGATAACGAGACGAACTGGTCCATGATGCGTATTTGGAATATTTTCTTTTATTGAAACCATTGTTGGTGCTTCGTTACGTGCCTTCAAGAGAAAGCAAGCCTGGAGTGCATTCACTAAATTAGCTTGGATGTTTTTCGCTTTTCGGCAATTATCAATGTCTTCAAAAATATGGGCCTAACACCTATTGTGAAACTTATACAAAAAATCAAGTCAACTAGACTGGCCGTTCCCAAGACCTATTGTGCCTACTCACTTCAACAAAAGCTGTTTTTGACAATACCGAAAATGTGCAGAATCACAAATTAATAAACAATATGTCACAATTCGTAAAAATTGTCCCTCTTTGAATGCGATAGAAAGGCATATTAAAAAATAAATAAGCTTTCAAAACATCCACACAGATTTATTTACCTACAAATACATAATTAACTTTATCTAAAACGTTCTCATTTTTTGCTCATAACTCCATGGCCGCTGTCCATTTAAGCGTTTATTTACAGAATGTGGTTATATAACTTGTAAATTAGTATATAACTAGAACACAAGCTAGTTTCTGACCCCATCCAATATAATCAAAGCAATGCAAGGTAATGGAAAGCTAGAAGTAGATGGCGCTGTTAGGTTGGTTGTCATAACTAATGTTATACAAATAAACACCTTAACTCTCTGTCATATCATACATACGAGCTAAAGAACTGTTGAAGATGCAATGCAACACGATGTGTGTGTGTGTGTGTGTGTTGTTTGACAGTTCGACCTGAAACCACTAGCACCGCCTGGCGGTAACAGAATAGCACATCGCTGCTGAAAAAGTTGCTTAGAATGTTTACATTGATATTTATGTTGTAGTATTATACTAGTGTGAAACGAATATGTTGATATATTTAAAAGCTATTTATGTTTGCTAGTGAAACCGTAAAATATATCTGTTTATGTGAAAAATTGTTGTATGGAAACATGGGGCCACTGTAATTGCGCCACACAACGTTCTAACATTCATTTATGTTGATAACAGTGGTTTATAATTCCAAACCCTCAATAAACTAGTCGAACGTATTGATTTTTCAAGACCTCATAAAGATATATATCAGGTCACAAAGAATGTCAAATTCTATTTTTTTCCACAGTGAAGTGAAATGTTGTGCGTCCCTCTAATTTAAAAGCCATTATGTTAATGTTTGAAAACCCTTAAATGACGAGGAAGGACAGTCACTCGTACTAAACCATAAAACAGTCTTTAGGTTGGTAAGGGTGGCGGTTGGAACTTCTTCGTTACAACTGCAAAGGCTGTCATCTTCAATGGAAATATAAAAACAACCCTTCCAGAAGGTTTCGTGAGAAAAATAATCGCGATATCTGACATCATACTACGCGATTGGTAACGGTTACAAAATTAGATTTTGTTGAAAAAGTGACACTCTTTTTACGACGCAACACTCTGCCAGACCCGCTTTTCGACCCTTTAACAAAATGAATAGCCCGCAGGTTTAAAAATTACATCGCCTTGTAGGTGTACATTAGATATCACATTTAAGTTTGTCAGTTCTATTTTACGATATTTCTTGAATCAGTGAAAAAACAATTTGTCAACCAATATTTGATGCCTCAATGCCAACGATATACAATAATCACATTTTATTGTAGTCTGTTAAAAATAAACAGTTCGTAGACGTAATAGGTATTAGCTACATACGCGTAGGTGTGCATGTAGTTTCTGTTTATAGCTGTAACCTTAGTGAGTCCATATTGTCCGTAAAGCAAATAATGATAATTGAGCTGGCAGGCAGTAACGATGAGAAAAATATGAGAGATGACATAAAAATAAACAAAAGTGTTCAACAACCATGCCAAATGGTAGTGAGAATCGTGAAATCACGTATTGTGTTTACAAAAATAGAAAAAAGAACGTTAATTATTTGAAATTCTTTGCTGGTGGAATAATTCCACAAATAAAGATGAATTTCACAATAGTCATGATGCATGCTGGTTATTAAGAATATAGCTTGGCTGAGAACCACAAACAGGGAAGTCCATTATGACAGGGATTAAGTCAAGGATGTTTTATGGAAAAAATAGGCGAATATGTTTTTATAATTGGTTTTTGCTTAAAGAATTTTGTACATTTGATTATGATGAAAGCTCTTCCGGAAAATTAACTATAAACTTTGCAAAAACACATTTTTTGCATTTTTGCACATATTCTATCATTCACCTGATTATACCAAGCTTTCTTGGATTAGAAATAGCGAAATTCTAAAAGTTGGTGTAGAGTAGATAGCATTGAATATTTAGGAATTTTTCTATATTCTCACTTACTATATTAGAATGTCCATATTAGATAGATTTTGAAAAAAGTTCGATTTGTAGCATACAAAATCAAATTTCTGATAAACATCTCAAAATTAAAATTGTATTCAACCGTCGACCTATACAATGAAACGCAAGTGTTTGATTGAAACAGCTTTATTTCTTACATACCGTCACCCGTTTTCACAAAGTTGTCATTTATTAGGGTAAAATAACACATAGTCCTAACACTAGATATAAACCACGAGCAAAGATTGTACCAAAACTGCACAAATCTATATTACAAAGATCTTATACTTAGCGCCAGACTACTATCAATTGTGATCCAGACGTACATTTAAAAATATTTAAAAAGATGGATTCATTAATTGAGAAGAAATATTATTTACAAAATTATGAGAAGTGTATATTGCAATTAATCTTCTTACTACCTTTCTTGATTAACACAATTCCAAATTTTACAGCATAGTGGCTTAGCCTCCTATGGATTACCATATTTATTTATCCTTTCTATTTCTATTGTTGTTTTTTATGAGCAAATAAATATTAGTGCACGAGTGTACCCTAAAGGGGCATACGCAGTGACAAACTTCTAAGTAGGTACAATCTAACAGTCTAACGTCACTGCTAAATTGTCATATTGTTGAATGGAACTATTGATTGTTCTTTTCTTTTAGATAAGATCTTCCTACGGGTTCCGATTTACGTACTCATGGTATATAATAACAGTTTACCTGTTCCGCGAACAAATTTATTGTTATTTTCGCCACTTTCTGTCACGTATAATGTTTGTGAGGGTGTTATTAAACTTGATGTTTTCAGTTCCACTGAAAACAATCTTAGATGTTTTTAACTGTTATATGAGTTATAATTTATTTCTGTTTCATATCACGTCCGTCTACAGTTTTTTTTATATGAATTTTGTCATGCCTATTAGTTAGAGTAATCTGTGCAGCCAGTGTATTGGTTCTAAATAAATAAGAAGTATTTCGGGTTTATTTATGTCGTAATTTCAAAGTTTCATTCAGTCGACATTAGAAGATACAAGTGGATAAAGGTGTCATGTAACATTTTTTTTAAATTGTTTTTTTTATTAAACTAACCTTAAGGAGTGATTCTTTCATTCTGTGATTACTTTTTGACAAAAACCAGATAGTAACAAACTAATTAAACTGAATACTTAAAATTTCAATAAAGTAAAGAGTCCCAATTAAGAATTGTTAAAGTAAATGTTCTCGATACATTGATTCTGTTACAGGACACCTCCACTTGTGTCATTTGTGTATAATTATGGTGAATGCCTATATTGTTTTATCAGCATTTGATTGACGACAATGTTGGATTTACTATCTAGCTAGTAAAAAATGAATTTTTAATATCTGAAATAAACTCTTAACGACTCTTTTTTGAGTGTTGAAAAAAGAAAATATTTGTAATTTGGAACATACATTTTATAACAAATGTCAGACTTTTAACGTCAGACAGGGTTGCCAGGTTGTCAGTCACGTTGGTCGCCAAGATGTAGTTCCATAAACGTCATTGTGCTTAGAGCACAGAACTTCCGCTGGTCCTCGTTTTATGTTTCATCAATCAATACGTATATCAGCAAAAATAGATTACAAATTAATTGGCGTCAGAATGCTGAATACTGGGCGCCACTAAAATAGCAGTTGCTTAGCTACCCATTTTAGTCGCCATTTGAATTCGTCTAATCGCCACACCTGGCAACTCTGACGTCAGAAAATAAAGGTTATATTTCTCATATCTGTCAAAAACTTACTCAAGAAATCGCAACACCTGGCAACTCTGACGTCAGAAAATAAAGTTTATATTTCTTATAACTGTCTAAAGCTTACTTTATGGCAGAAGTTGGGTTACACTCTTAGAACATGACTTGGAAAGGATTATTATTACGTTACGTTAGTTAGTATATCTCAGTCTTAGCGAAGAAAGTCTACGTTTGAACTTTATATGGCAAGTCTTGCCACTTTTCGTTCACTGAAAAAACCGAAAATAATAGGAATGTACTTTTTGGATTCGAAGTATTAATCTTCTGTTGAAATATTTTAGAAAATACCCCATGATCACTGAATGTCTCTTATTGTTACAGGAAGATCAAAATAGAGGTAAACCAAACTGGGAGCACCTGTCAGATGAACTTCACGTACTCCTCACAGTAGAAGACACAGAAAATAGGGCACAAATCAAATTACAAACAGCTGTAGAAGAAGTTAAGAAATTATTAGTCCCGGTAAGTACTTAAATAATACAAAAAAAAATAAAAAAAAACATTTTTCTTTTTAACTAAGAAAACAAATGTAATATGTGATGCATCATTGAATTCGGAGAAAAAGAGGCTATCACAAACAGGGTTTACTTTTTTTCGGACAATATAAAAAAATGAGGTTAATGATGGTTGCTCAAAAACGAAACGTCGGGCACAAAATTTAAAAACACCATCATGTAATGACTAAAAAGTTTCAGTGAGAAAGTTCCACTAATTTTTTCATTTTTCTTACCTCAGTAAGCCATGAAATTTTAAGAAGTCTCTCAACTGTAAATACTCTCCAAACAACGCAGCTTTTTCCTAATTTAACCTAAGCTGATATCCATAGGTATTGATATCGTCATACATATGATCCTTATCTGCTCTTCGCCTTTTTTAAATTATAAGTAAAGAAAAAAGTATGTCAGTCCCTTGTTTTGCCGGTTCTTAGCTATTGAGGCATTCTATCCCATCCTTGTTTCGATCACCTCGTGAGGGATAGACTAACAAATTATCCAACATAATTGCATTCAATTCAATTATTGGCTGAGAAAATCAAATGCAATGCCTGAGAATGAGAAAACGGGCAGAGTACAAATACCTTGCATTTTTGCAGAAATTGATGGCTGTAATGAGGTCCGCTTATCTTAAAGAGATGATATTCAGTCATGAAATTCATGGTAGGAGTACAAGACACCGTAAATGATCAGGATACCATCGCATTCTACGACACTTCTCAATCGTTGCTTCTCCTATAATGCCGCAATACTTTAATAGAAAAATATTAGAAAATGTGTCTTGCCACTTTTCGTAAGGGAAATATAACTGCATATTAGCTGCTTTTTTTTCTTGTGGTGCAGGCATAAGTCTACGTTTAGTATTTAGCAGAAATGTATTTTACTCTAGTTTAGTGTGATTAATTATTATTAATTGTTTTTTTGTATGAGCCTATTCTGGCCTCTGCACAGAACATCGTGCTTTTGATGTACTGGCAAAGTTAATTGAATGTAAGAGTAGCTAAGGCTGAACTTCGCTAACTTTGACTCTGAGATGTACTGTTGGATAACGACGTTATATTTATTAGACGCGGCACGCTCCCCATAAACCTTACAGCGTACCTCGTACACAAATACTAACTCAACTCAACAATAATTTGTTTGAACCACAATAGATTAACGGATAAAACGCATTCACATCCAAATAAAGCAACAATCAATTCAATAAATAATAAATTACTAGGTCAATTAGCGCGATTAGTTATGCATAGTGGTACGTGCTATGCGCGCGGCACTGTGAAAACCAGATTTTACATATACTTATCTATTAATTTACTAATGTCTTCTACTTGTGAGACAGGTTAATATTCATAAAGGGAGAAAATATTGACCTGAATACAAGAAATACTTGTTGCTTGAAATGCATTGCATAGTGACAAATTGATATCGAGCTAGTTTTGAGTGATAGTTGTAGAAAACTTTGTAACGTGGGTCGAGTGTGCCTATTGGAACATGTACTGCAGATTATGTCGGTTATTTTTGAACATTGGTTTCGTTAAAGGATCGTAGGCTGTAAACTATTTAGACTGGCGGGAGACATATATAGATCTTTATTCCACAATACTATCGACACTTATAAGCCCACGGTTCGGAGGTAGTTTATTTCAAGGTTTATTGATAGTAGTGACTGACCGAAACTCGATTTTCAGCCGAAACTGAAAATGAACCTACGGCTTCTGTCAAAGTTTCAACTTTTTAGACTTCTGAAAATGTTCACAATTAGTTGCCTGCTGTGAGACTGGCAAGTTCAAAGTAAAATGTTACAGGAATCAAATTGGGCGATTTGGACTATTCCATTATCATTTTCAAGTGAAGTAATGTGCTAACGTTCATTGGCCATGTTTTCATTTTGTGAATATTAAAAGCAGTTTTTCAATATTATCACAATAGTTCGGGTATTTAGAAAGATAGCTACTTAACAAATTATATCTAACAGCAGCCATTATAGTTTAATCATATTAGCAAATTTTTCCAAAATAATTGTAAATTGGTTTTATTGGTGAAAGTTGTTCAAGAGGGTATTTAAAACATGAACGCATAAAAAGGGTACAACAATTTTTGTGGGAAAACTTTTCATATAAGATTTTTAGGTATTTATGAGGCCTACAAAATGAGACCACACGTAAAAAGATCCGACTAATAGCAAACATGTTATGGCCGAAAAACGAGGCAAAATGCAGGTTTTGGCACTTGTTGGTAATGCGATGATAATTTCACGCATCTACTTGAAATTCTTCAGATCCGTAGGATTCATATTTCTAAATAACAAAAACAAAATTGGAGTATATTGGTCAGGTAGTTTTTTGAGAATTTCTTTTTTCGCAAATACCTGTTTCCGGCCATTACATACTTCTAGTTTGTTGAGCAATATACAGGGTTTGTTCAAATAGCATTTAATAGCAAAATACACCTTACGTTGCCGATATGAATCGCAAACCATTCCAAAAGACAAATGTTATTTTTATGTGAAAAACAAAGATTTCGTTTTTTTCTTGTAAACAAATTCAAACATTTCGTATTTGTGAGTAATTGAACAAATGCGCTACGATATTCGAAAAACATACAATACTATACACATTTTAAAACAAAGCGGAAGTGTCTATCATCTTTTGTTGCGAACTACTCACAAATTCGAAATGTTTAGAAGAAAAAACGTAACCCATCCTTTTTTGCATAAAAATAACATTTATCTTCCGGAATGGTTTGCAATTCATATCGACAAGGTGAACTAGTGTATTTAGCTATAAAATGCCATTTGAACTAACCCTGTATATTGCTCAATAAACTAGTAGTGATGGCCGGAAAACAGGTGTTTTGGGATAAGCAATTAGAAATTCTCAAAAACTACTTGACCAATATACTCCAATTTTGTTGTGGTTATTTAGAAGTACGAATCCTACGAATTTGAAGAATTCTAAGTATCTGCGAGAAATAAATACCTAAAAATCTTATATGAAGAGTTTCCGTTTCTGCCAACACTTTCGATTGAATCCCAAAAAACACGCTTTCTCATTCTTTGTTGTCGAATAAAAAGTTTTCCTACAAAAATGAGTGTACCCATTTTATGCGTCCATGTTTTAAATACCCCCTTGAACAACTTACAGCAATGGAACCAGACTTTACAATTATTTCGTAAACCAGGGGTATTTTCGTCTAATATGATTAGACTATTAATCAGTTGTATAGAAATATTTTATAATATAAATCTCAATCGTCTAAGAAGTATAATGATATTTTCAGAATATAATCTAAAAACTCATTCATCATTTACCTAAGTGTTTTTTTAATTATCATTATTTACCTAGGAAAGAAAAGCTACTTTTCAATGGCTCCTTGCGAACATTAACGATAATTTTCAGGTTAATAGTGAAAAATCTATTTTACTTTACAAAATGCATTCGTAATGTGATTATACAAATGTCCTAATGTAGTCGGATGTAAACCGACAGTTCACGAAGTATCAAGCTATGTTCAGGCCAAGCCGAACGGCTCGGTCGATTTGTAGCTGATACAGAAACTTCTTTCGAAACCTCTGTTTTATCGAAATGGAAACTTCGGTGGGTCATTAGTTAATAAAGAAACACGTTAAATAGGCATGTCTAAAACTATCATGGCAAACATACGTTTGATTCCAGTTCTAGTATTTGGCGTAATTTTGAGACATATCTCATCCAATAAATGCGCCTGGCACTATGGTCAAAATGAAAACATAAGCTTTTAGCTAACCAAAATTATTTCGTAGAAAACATCGTTCGAAATATGTTTTTAATCATCAAATTTGTCACTCTTCAACTCTGTTTTGCCCTTTTACTACTGGCGAGGAATTATTGCAATCGCGAAAATGTTCGAAAATGAGATATTATGTTTTTTAAATGTTATATGACATGTACATCACGAAAAACCATGTCACTTATTTCTGTCTTTCTGTTCGCTAATCTTATAATTGCCTATAACTTGAGAAGTATCGCTCGCATTTCGATGAAATGTTTCATGAAATTTCTCACAATGTTACTACTATGCCAAGGACGCAAAAGCTTTGTAGTTGTTTTAAAAAATTGTTCCTGTAGTAGCAGAGAAAAAGGCCTAAAACGAAAAAAGTAAAATTCGCCCTAATTTCGTTTTCTGACGTTCCAGATGATTCTGATTATTGTTTAAAAAGGAAAAAACTTAGGGGTCGGGGTTATAGGGGGAAATGGGAGGGTTTATATCAATTGTTTGATGTTCATTTATATGCTCCAGATTCTTTGCACCTATTAGACATATTTCACACATCCATTAGCCCTTAAAACATAGAATAATATTTTCGGCAGACGAATCGCGTTTCTACCGGCCACAGCTCTGGCGTATTCTGTTGTTCTGGTATGGTATTTTTGCCGCGTTACAGCATAGTGTTTTTCTATGCTCTGACCGCGTTGCGACGTCTGATCGAGTCAGGTATCGGGGAAAGGCGAGGTTTCCGGATGCACTACCAGTTCGGCAGGAAAATAATGATTAAGGACTGATTGTATGGACCTACTGAATTTTTTCTCAGAGGTGTAGCTTGTGCTGGACACAATACTTTATGAATTGATAACGGCGTTACGTGGGCAGTGTCAACCTACTTGGCGCATTTTTGTCCTATGGACTGGTTAAGTATATTGTAGACAACCGAACCAGTCAAGCGTTTAACCTCGGTTCAACTAAAAGCAAACGTTGAACGTATAGCTCTGACAGAAAATGAATATATATCTTCAACTTTGAATTGAAGTGAAACGGCGAATTTAGGAAATTATCCTGTATCAATATTTTTTGGATCTAAAAGATGACGTATTTCTAAATCTAAATCATTTTTTTTTAATTCCAGCAAGCAGACGGTGAAGATGAGCTGAAAAAAAGGCAACTAATGGAATTGGCCATCATAAATGGAACATATAGGGATTCCTCCTCAAAAGCAGCTGCAGTAGCCGGTAACATTCATATATAATTATTGTATAGCATATTCAGCTTTTTATAATGCAACATTTCTTAATTGTTTTATGATTTGTTTCATTCATTGACTAATTCAAAAACAAGTAAATGTACGTAACATGTTTCTGGAAAAGTATGTGTGCTAAACCACTGTCAGCCATGTCCGATTTTGCTTGTGCTAGGCGGCGCTTATACATATACTTAGTGATGAGACATGGGAAAAAGACAGATTTGTCAGGTAAATGTAACCCATTTCTCATGTTTGGGAGTCTATTGACGTAAACAGCTGATCAGCAATTGAAATGTTTGTCTGTTCATATCCTTGGATATGACGGATATGACCTCCAGCCTTACTTATGCAGGTTCCTTAGTAGACAAAAAAACTTACCACCTCATAATCGAGCTTTTTTATGTTTCTGAAAATAGTGTCATCTTCACATAGCTGATCTGATACGACATTGATGATCTTTTGCTTATAATCATATATTGTATTCTCATTAAGGAGTGAATGTTTCCAAAAAAATATTCGATATCCTATATTCAATATTGTATCACAGACGTACGTTTTCCAGAAACAAATCTCTATTTCATATTTGCGAAACGCTTACGGGACCTTTGGAATTATAAGAATAATGCTGTATATGTTGAAATTTTGACATAATTTAGCTATAGCAGATAATTTTTATATTCTTATATAAACAGCAGTTTCCCTTTCATCCGTTATTTATAGTAGTACAGGTTGCAAAAGTGTCGAAATCTAGGGGCTGCAATTTGAGCATATTCTAAACACGAACCACTCTACACCCTTTTCTCTCAAAATTTTTGTTTTACTTAAAATATCTGTGAGAGCAAATCGTTTTTCCAGATCTTTTCACTATAAATAAGTTTTACCTAGTTGACACTTTCGCAAACATATGAGCCATATATCGTCGTCCATAACACGAAGTGGCGGATTTGAGTTGTTGCTGACAAAAAGGTATAATTGCTACATAATTGAATTTGTGGGTTTATCTGCTCATGTTTACAAGATTTTAAAAAATGAGCAACGATTAACCCATTTTTCATTTTATGTGTTCAAAATTTCCAAAAAAAGTAGATGCGTCATTTTGTTAAATTGAAGGGTCGTAATTCATAGAATAAAGACTTAGTTACGTGTTATATTAAGTGATGAGAAATCAAAACGGATGAAATTTAAAGAAAAAAATGTTTTATTACAATACAAAATGGCTACAAAGAGGGGAACAGTGAATATTATGGCAGAAGAAGTACTCGCAGTATGTAAAACTATTTAACTCCCTATACAAGTTAAATATGGTAGCACAAAGAAAAGGCTCATTCAAATAATAATGATATGATAACATGAACAAAATAATAACTAGTATTACATCTATTACTCATGGGGAAGATTTAAATTGAATCTTTGGTATTCTTGTAAACGAACTACCGGTATATCCCCTTCACACAGCGAAATCAAATCCATATATATTTTTGTAGTAAATTTTTTTTTTTGGCTCTGCACTCAGAACTTCGAGGGAATATCTTTTAAATTATTTTTTTCTTTTTAATCTAAAAAAGCTGTATTCGTACTGAAGGTGAAATCAAATCACTTCACAGTGCGTATAGTGATAAAATTAAAACTACAATTTTACGAACTGGTGTAACTTATATAAGCCATACGCTGTAAAATAATATGTAGGTATATTTTATAATTTCACAAAACTGGCATAACTTGAGTTAAGCTTCCTCGTGAAATTTAATTTCATATTAAAATGAGATAAATCTAATATGATTTTTCTATAACTCTGAAGGTATTAAAAACTGACTTATGCCATTTTGTGATATTGAAGAGCAACCTTTTTTAAGTAATAAAATCGACTTAACTCAATTTTCGTATTTTCTGAGATACGCCACTTCGTGTTATTGGCGACGATATGAGCGATAAATTAATGTTTACTAACAAGATGTGTTAATTTATTAAAATACTATTGTTGATTAATATTCATTTTGATTTTAGCCACGAATCCTCTGTTATCATTTCCGGCTACTACAAGTATCTACTGTATGACATGCGCTCCATTTGTTTGCGGTGTGTTGATATATTTTATTTATTATAATAATCATATTAACCAAAAAGTATCCCTTATTAACAACCCTTTCGTATTTTCAGTCACAGGTATTGGCTAAAGTATCAAACTCTACGAAATATGTATGTGTATCAAGACAACAAATGACTGTGATTTGAAGTGTTTAACTGTATGTTATGTACAAGTAGATCAGTATGAAAATTCTTGTTTTATTTTAGGTATCACAAAACAAATGGAAGCACTTTCCAAATTAATTTGTGGAAAGTGCTTCCTACAATAGCCACTCATGAAATATAATTTTCAGTTAATGATTAATTTTTATTCGGATTTATTTAATCATCTGAAAATATGTGTTGGAAATATGTTTGACAGTAACAAGGTTTTTGTTAAGCTCAAATCTTGAAGCTTGTAAGAAATTTTATTTGTAATTTCCTGATAGCCGATACTTGTAGTGCTGGGAAACATAACACTAACAACAAACAGTAGATTGTTGGGATTCTGGTTGTGCTGTAGAGTTTCTTGATGTTTACAAGGTGATATTGTACAAAATAAAAAATTACATTTATGTTGCCCAAATAATTCTAGATAACCATTTGAGTAATTCCTTTAAATCTGTGAAATTTCGTTATGTCGACATTGTGAAATAGATTCTGAAATAGAAAATGAAGGGCACATTCCTACATTTCAGGTTACTCTGCAGCACATGGTTCGATAAACAGTAACGCTTCAAGTTTGTAGGTATAGATAGTATTCAGGTGACTGCTATTTTGAGGATCTTATTGGCTACAATATTTCTATATTATTCGGCTCTTCTCAATCTTTGAAACTTCATTTCTGGAATGAATCAGTGATTGAAAAATTGTCATAGGATACCAACAAAGGCATGAACTCTGCTTATAATTTGATGAATATAGGATGTTCCAAAACTACGTAAATAGAAAGGGCTTTTTGCCAAAATGCTCAAAGGATTTATCATTACCACATATGTTTGAATTGCTGATTACTGAAACAACATTTCGGCCACCACGATGGCCTTTTCAAGTAAAATTAACCATTCTGACGACACTAAATTTTGTTTATCTGTCTTCAAGTAACAGTTTATTTTTTTTTTTTATAATTTTCCCATTCCTATGAAGAAAGAACGTTTTTGTCCTAGTTTTGTTTTGAATGTTTTCACCAAACTCTTTGTAGGTCATAAAACACAAATGTGGAAAATAATTTCTTCTATAGATCTATCAAAACATAATGTATCTACCACTTGGTCTTTTTTTCGATTTATGGTTTTGTAGGTTTACGGAAATTAACCTGGAATTGTACAGCATTCATCGCACGATACCTTCAACATCATTTTTCCAAATTGTTTAATAATCATTCATAAAGTTGACATTTTAATCCCCAGCGTGTGACGAAGAGTGGCGACGATTGGCCGCATCAGCCATGGATGCTCAACGGCTGCTTTCTCCTGCCATTCCCGGACTGACGGGGCCCCTACGCGGCCCTACAGCCACGCCCCTAGGAGCGCCCCTCATCCTCTCGCCACGCATGTCAGCAATGCCACCTCCCAACTCGGCAGCGTCCCTACTCAATGGCGGAGGTTGGTATTAGTATATTTTTTAGATGCTTGTCCGGATATATTCAATTAAAATTGTAATTATTACATGCAAATGCTTATATGACCTATAGTGTATTTACACCCAATATAGAATGGATGCGTGATTGCCAAAAGCAAGGACGGCGTACAGGGCCGCATTCAGGGCTACGCTAAGCAAGGTGAATACGAAAACACGAGCACGCAGTGATACACGCGACGGTCGGTGGCCTGAATGCAACTCTGCCTGCCCTGCCCCGCGCAATATTCCGCTAGGCGACCGCTTGAAATTTAATGGCGAATTGACCAATAAGAGGCGTTGTCCCCACCTGTTACCGAGAGATCACGCGCTAACTGTTATTATTTACATCTCATCTTGAATTTGGATTCAGTTTAGATGATATTTTTAGTTACACTAGGATAAAGAGCAAACGATTTGAAAGTTTGCATTTTGATATACTCGTTTTTTGTCGAAATATTCCCAAACAGCACTAGTTCTCCTTATGATCGAAGTTTTTAGACACTTCACAGATCAAGTAAACATTTTGGCTTTCATACGTTGGTCATTTTGTAAGTAAGAACCTTTTTGTAATGGAGTCAGAGAAACCTTATTTTTCAACATAATTACCATAAACACTTAAGCATTTGTCAAGTGCTTGTACCAGCTTTTGGATCCCGTCGCCAAAAAACGCTGACCGTTAAACAAGTTAATAACTGTTTCTTTCAGAATTCCTAAGCACTTTTAACCAATAAATTCCTTAAGTTTTGAAAAAGATGATAGCCTGATGGTGCTAAGTCGGGCAGTATAGTGGATGATCCAGTAATTCCCAACAAAACTTCACCAGTTGCGTCTGTGTTTTTGCCGAGTGTTGTCGTAAAGCAGAACGACGTCGCTACACAGCAGGCGCCGCACAAGTGGTGGTGAATTTACACGTAAGGATGCACGGGCACGATGTGCAATCAGTTCTTTCTTCAAAAATGACCCTCGTACATAAAGGTGTACATGGGAAAATTCACTCGTAGAGGTGTTTGAATTTCCAGCCTGTCACATCTAAAAGAGGGGCTTATACAAAAGCACGTGTACATCGTTTTTGAATACTTTTGCAAATCTATTTTTGTATTTCGAACCTGCACCTACTTCCCATGTATAGTTGTGAAAGAAGTGATACAAAGCTACTTATCAACTATACGTTATGTGTGTGCCCGTCAATAAACATATTTGCGACCCACATACTCAATGGAATCAAAATACACTTTTACGGAAAGAAATGAATGGCCGATATATCGGGATCGGTGAAAATCCGATATCGGTCGATCTCCAACCAATACACAACTGAATTCCTTGAATTTCTTAAACGGACTAGAACACAGTGGAAACATACTATCCGAGTCTGCAAATATGGTCCCAATAAAACTGAGTATTCGATTGGAAAACTATGTTGTATTGATAGTTTGGATTACAAGCCTGATCTTCTCTTTTGCAGGTCCCCCAGGTGCAGCCGGTTTGCTAACTCCCGCAGGGGCGGGCGACCCCCACCAGCTGATCTACACCCCGTTCGACTACGCCAACTACGCCGCTCTGGCGGCCACGCCTCTAATCACCGACTACGCGGCAGCGGCGGCGGCAGAGCATACGGGTGGGTTGTTTGCGCGTTGACTATTTACCAACCCCCACCACCATCCTTACCATCCGGTTGTGTTTGTGCCTAGGTAGTTGGTAGCCTTTAGGGGCAGTTGTAGGGTTCGGTTTTCGATTGGTTCTTTTTTTTAATGCGGTAATTTTTTGCATTCGAAAGTTCAATGTCTAATGCTGAATATGGCTCCCTAAGTAAGACCCAACAAAAAGTTCGGATTGTCTGGAATCCCATCTTTTTGTATCAAAAATCTACAGTGGACCAACTGTATTGCTACCGTAATCGTAGTGATCACACCAAACAAAATAACCTATTATTTTAATGGCTTACTACGATTAGATGCCCTTCGTGCTGGCCTGAGGCACTCTTGATATCAATGGTGGAGTATTTCAAATTTTAGTGTCAAGCCTGTTAATAAAAACCGTGTATGAAAAATGCCATTTAGGAAACGATTCAAGTCAGAGAAACTTAAAATTGGACTCAAAACTAAAGAATTGCTAGAATATTAAATTATATCAGCATAAAATATGACACATATGACAGTTCTCCTTCATGTAACGGAGTGTTGGGCTTTTAGTTAGGGACAGAATGCTTTATGCATAGATTCTTTGCGACTACACGTATTTCTACATTTCTGTAAAGCATAAATATTTGGTTATAACATAGTATAGAAGGGTCATGATCCGTTAGAGACAAAATATCTTTATTAAATCCTTATATTAATATATCTTCATACAGAAAAACAGATGTTGGTATAGCTGCATAAGTAGACTAGAAAGTCTATAATTATAACTATAACACTAAGAAATGTACAATTGTGTTGGTGGTAGAGGTGATGTCAAATAATATTTGAACCTGACAATAACGAAGTTATTATCACCTGATAAGGTTCGACCGATTAGCCTCCCACTAAATCACTTTCCAAGATGTTTGTCCACTTCCAAACATTTAAATAATCCTGTATTCAAATAAATCATAAATGAAGATTTTCGAATGTTATTTAGGAATGATGTGAGTTCATATGCCACTGATAAGGTCTTCAGACCATATCAAACCTTAATCGCAGTCTCAATACCCTAGGATGATATTGCTAACAATAAAAATGTCTACGTATCTTTGCGAGAAAAAAATAAATCGTTTGATTGATTTGAGTTCTTATCTGCGTGTTTTTATTGCAGGGTACAACCACAAACTAGTGCAATCAACAGAATACGGTCATCCTGTCTGTGTAGGTTTTGTTCTAATGCTTATACCAGCACCTACTAATCCCTTATAGAATCAATCACTGTAAAGCATATTTGTCACAAACTAATATTGACATGCCATGTTAATTATTATTATTATTCGGTCAAACTATTTTGCAAAGTTATATCAATTTTTTTCTCCATTTTACATACGATTTCATCCAATCCAGAACTTGCTTGAGACATATGGGGAAGAAAAATTCAAATGATAACCAATCGAAAATCGACCTGTAGATGTTGCCATATGTAGAACTGTTTAGAACGTATATGAAATTTCAAACACATTTTTCTAGTTTTAATCAGAGGTCTATTATTCTACGAACATTTTCAAACAGTTCTGCATTTAAATTATTCGTTATTGGTAGACGGTTAGTTTTTTGTTCGTCCATCGACACAGTAAAATCGAGTCTAAAATACTATGATCGAGTGTTCAAAACATGAATTTTCATAATATTATAGGCTTTAGTTGAGCTTTAGCCCGATGGTTAGTCGCAATTTTTTATTACATTAAATTCTGTGATACTTAAGCACTAAGTACTCTTCTCAGTACGTTAATAATCAGAAACAAAAGTTTTATCTCTCTATTATTATTATTATGATTATTATTTTTTTGCAAGTCATAGTTAATAAGATATTATTCGTTTTATTTATATTTTATGATGTAAATAGTACGTAAAACGTACGCTGGTCAATCGAGCAATAGTCAATCGTTTTTCTTTGTTTTTGATAGTTATGACAAATGTTTGAGTATAATGGGTATTTAGAGCAAGAGGTAGGTCAAGATGGTAAAAACCTATTTACATTATAATGAGTTCATCCATTGAATCAATTATTTTGGTTTTAAAATTGTTTACTTGTAAGGCTTCAGGTCAATTAAATTATTTATAGTAGGATTATTGTCCATCAATTTATTTAAAAGCATTATTATCTAAAAATAGAAATATGACGTTTTGAAGGCGCGAGTAATTTTTTACAATTCGAAAGGAGGGCTATCCTTTGATTATATGAATAGGTAAAGGATGATAAATTTGTATGTACACAGGGTATCCCAGAAGTCGACGTCAAGTCGTAACCGGGTGATGAGCAAAGTCCTAATAGTTATCAGAAAAATATTTAAAAAATCTTAGGTACGTGTTTTAAAAACTATAGGTATTTAAAAAAGCTAGAAATTTCACAACCTACGGCAGTCTGTTAACACCTGTTAATACGGATATTAACTTTGTTGGATTTTATTTTTACAATGTAATGATGCATCTTTAAACTGGTGTCTCAACTTTACTGCCAACTTTTCTAGTTTAGAGGAAATTGCCACTTTCTTTCCAACCAAATATTCCAAATTAAAACTTTGCGAAGCTTTAACTGACTGTACTAGAAAAAATTTACTGCGAGAGTTTGGCAAGTAACCTTAAAAGTTGGCGCATTCAATAAGGATTGTTGTTATAACACTTAGAAGATTTTTCGTTATATTATGCACAATTTTTATTTAAAGAAAAACCCAGTGTTTAACCGGTTTTTACTTAAATCAGTTGAATAAATATTAGAATCATTTTATCTCCACAAGGCTTTTATTCTAGTTGAGTGAAATGAAGAGATCCATTTTACGATGTGCGAGCGAGACAGACAGTGACAGTTGCTATTGCACACTTTGATACCGATCAGTACGTAACGCTTCTTCGTTTACTGCGTATCTTTCCGTATATGTTCGTGCTGTTTGAGCTTTTGCTGTAAATGTAAATCATCATCAACAGTCCTTTGACGCCCACTATTGTGCAAACAGTTAGCCTTGTTCGTTTTAATAATTGCTGTTTAATTAAAGCATTTTGAACAATTGTCATCAGTTTAATAGATATTAACATCCAAATTATGGAATTCTTGTTTAAAGATTTAAAACATTTCTAATTAAGAAAGTCAATACACCTTGGCGATGAGCATGGACTATCTGAAAATAAAGTTTCTGTCTCTCTCACCCTTAGTAACATACGCCTCGTGGAACTAAAATGATTATAATATTCATTTAACTCATTTAAGTAAAAACTGGTTAAAAACTGGACATTTCTTCTAAGTGTTATACCATTTTGTAGTCCTCATTAAATCCGCCATTTTTTAAGCTTACTTGCCAAACTCTCATAGTACATTTTTTCCAGTACAGTCAGTTACAGCTGAGCAAAGCTTTAATTTGGAATACTTGGTTGGAAAAAAAGTGGCAATTTCCTCTGAACTAGAAAAGTTGAAACACCAGTTTAAAAATGCACTATTCATCATTACACTGTAAAAATAAAAACAATAAAAAATTAATATTTCTATTAACAGGAATTAACAGACTGCCGTAGCGTGTAAAATTTCTAGTTTTTTTTAAATACCTATAATTTTCAGCACACATACCTGTGATTTTTTAAATATTTTTCTGAAAACTATTATGCCTATCTCCCGGTTTCGGCTTGACGTCGACTTCTACGACACCGTGTATAATTTTGCTTTCGGCCATTTTGACTGCCGATATACATCACAAACCCATAGATATATTATTGTTTATGTTGTTCAGGTATTTTTTAATTTTCATATTTATCTGATATGGATTTGAATAGATCAAAAGTCAGAATAGCTAGATTTTTCATGGTGTATGATATATGCATTTATACTGTTACCTTAAGATATTATTTATTTCATTGTAGGACGATAGGATTCTTTTCAGGTAGAAAAATATAAATTTTAGATATTATAGAACTTCAGAAGTAATTTTATTATGCTTTAATTGTTTTATTTTTAGTAGCTACAAAGTAGTCCAGTGTAGTTCAGTAGTATAATTTTAAGATGAGTTTGCTACACAACAACCGCAATAATTATTCTTATTTGCTTTCCTCTATATAGAAATTCTAAACCTATGAATTTTTTATATTTTCTTTTTATCTCCATAAGTCGTTGAATCTCGAAAGGTTATGCAATATACAAAGTGTAGCGAACTTATAGATTAATATTTCATATTTTATTTCCAGTATAGGAGACTGCATTGTAACCAAATGAAATCAGCAAATACATCATTGATTTCAGTTTCTAAGAATCACGCTCGGTAAAAGTTTCGGTTGAAATACTATCCTTGTTTTCCTGAATCTGGAAAATCAAAGTATTTATTTGTTTTTATATCTGAACACGTTAGCCTGATGCCATACAAAACGGCGAATTAGTGAAAACAACAGGCAATATTTTTACTGATCATGATTCTTTTGATGACATAGCATGACATTTTTCCCAGTTTTTTCTCGTCGTAAAGTTTGATCTTGCATAGGTGCGGCAGCTGCTGTTGCTAAGCAACGCAGAACTTTTGGACAGTTCAGGGAGCACCCCTACCAAAGGGCGGGAGCGCTCTCTTAAGGTTAGTTGGCACATACGTGTTTCATTTTTTTATTCGTATACCAGGCAGCACAGTGAAATTAGAATTAGATAAAGAATTTCATCAATTGAATACTGGTGTAAAAACGGCGCTTATTTGGAAAGATCCCAAGGACTGCCTTAACTAGTTTTTTTGACCAAAATTAGTTATAATAGTTCTTGAAGTTTATCTTTAAGACGACGTTAAGTCATTCGTTTATTTAATTTTTGGAATTTTCTATCTAATTCTACAGCACTGTTCGCAGAATTTGGTGTAAATCAGTTCTACTGTGGTCGCATCACTTTTGTTGTCGTTACAGTAGTTTCAAATAATGATCACACATATACTGTGATTCAATATTATATTCTTATAAAGCACTAATAAGGAGCCACAAAATTATGTCACATCAGCTCCCATTATTTTAAAATAAAATTGAGTCGGCGCCCAGCCGCCACTTTTTGACTGTCAATTTTACGTTAAACTATGATATCCAAGCATCAAATTCATCACCCAAATTTCATCTTGTTAATTTTTGGAATAAACTATAAATAATGCATATAAACTCGGTTTCTTTGTACGACCCAGAGTAGTATAAGCCGTTTCCGCTTTGATAAAATGTAATTTCCATTATATGGATAAAACTACTAGGAGAATAAATAAATATTCGGTCAAAAGTTCAGTTCTACAAGGAAGTATGAAAGGATGCACAGAGTATCTTGATTGGCACCAAAATTCTGGCAAAGCAGGTACAGGCAGTTTTTATCGTTAGAATATGTTCTCTATGTGTGCTATTTTTCGGCTGAATTTACGGTTTTTTATCAGTATTTTGAGCGTACACTTTTTATGCGGGTTGTGAGTCAATCTCAGATATACATCTAACTGATTGTTGATAGATCCCCATGGAAAGAAGGATTTTGATATTCTGTTACCATGTAGGTATAGATTTGTTAAGGACTCGGATACGAAATTTCAATTCATATTTCATTATACCTTCTAAGAGATTATGTAGAAGATTATGTGAATAGTGCATTGATATGCATTTTATCTACAAAAACGTACTTCTCTCAGAAAAGTTCGCATTTTATGCATTTTGATTCGCAAAATACTCTTAAGATTGATATTTGATTTACATCAATTTGACGAACAAGCTTTAACATTTTCATTTTAACCTCAAGACTCTAGGATTAAGTTTTTTGTTATCTCGTACCTCACCATCACATAACGCAGTTGTGATGCCCTAGTCTAAAATTTTTATATGTGTATTTTTATATTTTTACATATATTTTATTTATTTTAAATGTTTTTTCATGCAGTCCTTCTTTCCTCTCTCTATATTTCTTCTAATTGCCTCATAGTTCATTTTGTTTTAATGCATTTCATGGTTACAGTTCCTGGTTCCTGGTTACTATTTCTATAAAAATGATTAATTCTATTTGTGTTGAAGTGGAATAAGCATGTTTCCAAAATATGAGAAAGACTTCAAGGGGTAATTTTTTGATAAACTCAAGAAAATCTGTTGACGATTTTAGAAATACCCCTTTATTTTGCAGATGCATACATGCTTCTAAAGAATAAAATTTTGACAGTAGTGTAACTAGTTCAGTCCTCACATGATGATGTGCCCTATTGCAGTATTGCTAATTTCTTACACAATGTATAATAATGGATCGAAATTAAAATTTTGGAAAGCTTCATTGTTGATCTGAAAAATGTCTCCTTATTTGATTTCGATAAAATAAATCGCTGTGGATAAAAAATTATCTTTTTTCGGTAGTGTTTTTCAATTTTATGGATTCGGATTCCAATATGCTCTCTCGATACTGGCTTTTGTCAAATTGAAAACACGGTAGTTTTTGTCACAGAACTATAATCATTGATCTGAAAAACCTTTGAATATAAATTATCTGATCACTTCGCGATCCAAGAGTTTGTTCAACTCTTTGGGGATTGGCTCCATTGTAAATTTGAAGTAAGCCTGCGTGTCTCAAAAGCGGGTCATTTTATCGAAATCAGACATAAATACATTTTTTCAGATAAAAATTTTCCTTTTGAGCCGTTATTACATATAATGTAGAAAACTAGCAATATTGCATTATAGCCAGCCACCTGTAAAATATTGTTTTCTTAACATAGTCAAATTCTGAAACACAAAAAATTCATGGCCTCGATATTTCTATATAATAATTACTTTTGAATTTTGTTCCTGGAACTGTATACATACATATGTTGACATAATTTGTTATGTTGCGCTTGGTTAGTTGATATATTTTTCTCAGTTAAAGCGAACTTTGCAGAGTAAGTTAGGTAGTTTTATATATCTATATACATATAGTATATTTTTTGTATGTTGAATTGTTGACTTGCGCCAATGTGGAACGAAATATATTTATATGAAAAAATATACGAAATTTATTTTATTTGACAATTCCCTTCACAGTGACACTTTTGATATGATTCCACTACTGGTGGCTATTTACTTACATATTCTCAGCTATCTTACTGAATTGAAGATATGCTGTTTCACAAATTATCGTATCAAAATGTCCCATAATGCTTTGTTTTTGACTTGATAAATTAATTATAACAGTAACTCTTTAATATGCTTTAACACTGTAAACATAACTTTTCTAATTCCACAATTTTGGCCAAGTTCACTAATATACTTTTGAAGGAATGAATGATTTATACTTATAACGAATGATTGTGTTCCATATGACCACTATATTAAAAATAATGCTTTAACCATATTTAAGTGTACAATTCGCAACAAGATAGGTGAAAAGTGGATTAATAAAGAAGCTTTCTATCAACTATTGCTCCCATTAGTATCTTCATATGTTTACTTTTTTATGGCCGATTTGAATTCCACATTTTAAATGGCCTACCCTTTAGAACTTCTAGTATGTTAGATTCGAAATTTATTATTATATATAATAATTTCCGGTCATCATATAAATTCTCTTTTCACATCGAAATGATACTTAAATCCTTAATAGACTCTAAAAATATTTTTGCTACTTGGTTGACATATATTTTGTTGATCCATTCTTTCACCTTCACGTTCTAGAAAAGTGTCAGGAATTACATTGATTTCAGATTGAAATACTCATTTCATGTCACAAACTTATTATAGTGGACTCTTTGACACTATCTTTACATTTCAACGCTTTGAAAACTAAGTAATCATTACTATTAATATGCTTATTTAAAAATTAATCTCTGGTTTTGATCTCACAAAACTTTGCACGCATGTTTAATATAGTTCTTTATATAGAACACTTTCACTCACCACTATGCTGCCTTAGTTTTAATATTTTTAACTTACATTTTACATTCGTTTCCTGTTGCATAAGCATATTTAAAAAGGGTAGTTTATACTGCCAGAAATCGAATATATTCCATACAATATTAATGGGAGTTCAGTTAACGAAAATAAATATGTTTATGTAATAGGACTTCAATCTGCTAGCATCGATCTCAGCGTTTATTGAAATTGCATGACAATAGTTAGTTTGTGTGTTTAACATTGGGCTTAGACTTAATGATGGGAAATATACAAGTATAGTATAACATATTTTTTAATTGGATTGATATACCAGTAACATTCTTGATAACTACATTTAACACGCCCTTTAGTAAAACTGAAATCGGATATACTTCATACAAATTTCCATATACAATCATTATAATCGATGTTTACAAGACTGTGCAGTTTTTAAATCATAACGATTATTAACATGCAATACTGATGCTAAGATCGATCAATTATCTAATGTTTTTGGGTATTTGTTTGTTCCTTGCTGGGCATTTCTTGTGGAGCTGACATTATCATTTTATCGCTTTCCATTGGGTATGATTAACATTTATTGACGATATTTTGATAATTGATCCTAACACATCATGCTAGATCGCACTATATAAAAATCCTTTTAATTTCGCGATTCGCCTACATTTGTTCCCTTTATTGTACGTTTAAATGTGTCTTTAATATTCCCTGGAAGAAAGCTTTTCCATTTCTTATGAATTATATAAACTCCAAAATCAGTACATATGTTGCGTCTGTAACTAACCCGCTCATATCGTATCATTTGGCATAGCGACAACGATTACTCCATAGTTTTACCATTAGCCAATTTTGAACATCCGAAATGCGTTTCTCTATGTTAGCAACTTCAGGAGAAGATTAAAACTATTTCAGTTTTAGCGAAACATTAAAAAACCGGTTTGGCAAGTGTTAAAACTCTGTAGTCGTCACAATCTCCTAATGCTAGAATGCTGTTGGATTCACAGCTGCTTTCATTTCCCTCATAGAACTTTCGTTAACTTGTAAAAAACTTGAATTATCTTCGCTTCACCTTCTGAAGTTATATATTGCTGCAAAATGTATAGGACGAAAGAAAAGTTACTTATGTAGAAGGTATATCTTCTGAAGCAATGCTTTTTGAAGTATCGGCCGTGCTTAGATATGTCAGTATTTTGTCCCAAAGAAACGTAAAACATCCTCGTTTCACCTGTTTTGTGAAATGTTTGATATATCTAGTTATTAAATTATAAGATTTGTGACCCAGCGGAACTAGTACCTAAAGACATTAGAAACTAGCAGTCGGAGTGGTATTCGTATACTATTATAATACACACTACATTATGAGAGAATTACTAACACTGTTTTCTTTTCTTTTCTTGTTAACCCGCGCTCGTGGTTGGCCGTTGGCGCATACCTCTAGGCTTTGCGGAGTGCTAACAACTGAACCAACCAACCGAAAATCCACCCCTCCGTTGTCACACATACCCCCTTCTACTACCACACCACCACCGACTAACTGTCAAATGTCGAATGGAGCGCCAAAGTTGGACAGCCATTCAATCTCTGTGGGGTAGCGGTACGTTCTAACATCTTAATACATTAATACACATCACTAACATTATGTTTTGTCTGTAGTCTCTAAAATGACGACTTCCGGATCTCACCGTCATTGTTTGCTCGAATAACCATCCATCATTGGTTCGACCGTGAGACAAAAATGTTTCATAGTCACCATGACAGATATTGCTTAGAACTTTGAACTGCCTAAGGATTCTTCACTGAGAATTTTCTTTGATAGTCATTTTTCTCTGAAACAACTGACATAAGGTCAATTATAAATATCTAGAACATAAAGCAGCAATTTGTTTGAAGGGAGTTTGAGAAATGAATTATGAAATTGAATAATAGTCACTTTGATGACGATACAGTGCATTTAAAAATTCGGTTAGGTTTAGTTGCTGCTAGCCAGCCTGTCACTGCCTTCCGGAGAATTTTAAGGAGGTAAAAAAGGAGTGATAGCTTGATATACTTTCAGTTGCAACAAAACGTTAACAAGAAAGGTTTTTCTTCATGCATATGGTTTGAAATAGGTCATTTGAAACAGTATTGAATAAGATGATACGTTCTTATTTCTTGGAATCTGAAAAAATAACTTGAGTGTCATTTGTAAAAATTGTTATATATTTCCTATAATTTTTTCTTGGAATGCTTCGATAACAAATTGAGGTATTGTGATATAGATAATTAGATGATTGGTGTGCACCCTGGAAGTCCCATTTTAAGAGATATTATTTATTTGTTGGAAGTTTTTGTGTTATGCAAAAATCTCTTATAAGAAATCTCAAATCTGACAGAAGTGTAAGATCAGTATAGATAAAAGGTTAATCAATTTAAAGGGCGTTTCATTTTAGTCTTTACCATAATTTTCTTGAATTTTGATATTGGAACTATTGTATATTGTATTTAAATTCTTGTTTCTTGAGTTTAAAGGTTTTCAATTGATTACTAAATTTATAACACAAAAGTTTCCAAGCTCTCCAAACCCATTCTGCTGTACGAAGTACTTGTATATATGCTTAGGTTTGTCATTAACCTATGATTCATCAAACCATCCTCATCTTCAGTTATATATACAGCGGAAGGGTAGAGAAAGTCATCTCTTACATTATAGATACTCTTTCATTACATCTCAAATAATATTGTAGCATAACCTCACTTTTCTTCCGGTATACTGTTAGACGTTGCCATTTTTTATATTCGTTCTCAAATACAAAAGTGCCTTAGTACATAGTTTAACAGTTTACCTGGAGTTTGTAAAAAGAAATCGAAGCTGCTGGGATATTTTTATATCCTATGAATCTCATTTATTACGTCGTTTGTCTGCAGACTGAAAGTTATCATACTTACTTACATGTAAGTATGTAGGGAAAATTCTCAATTTATAAATTTAATTTTAAAGAATGCTTACTTTTCAAGAGATCTGTTTCGATTGAGCAAAAATTTATATGTTTATCTGAAATTACTTCATAGTTAAGATAACATCGAAATATAATAATATTCTAGACAATTTTCAACTTTGCAAGATGATAAATCCCCTGCAAAGAAGAATTTATATAAAATAGAATGTTGCTTAAGTGAGATATCGTTATGAGATAAATTTAATATTTTTAGTATCATTGTTGATGGAGCTCGATTTAATTTTACAAAAATCTCATCATAGCTTTAGTTAAGCATTCACCTATTTATATGGAAAAAGTAATTTACTAATATTATTAATATCTATCTGTAAAGTACAAACGTTTTACGTGTGCCAATTATTAACTTTAACATCAATTTATTGTTATCGTAATAATCATTTCCTGAAGTGTCCTTAATTACAAAAACACGAAAAGGTGTTATCCAGTGGAAATCAAGATGCATCTTAAAACCGTTTTTCCCATCCAAAAAACAACTTGTAGATGAATCACTTGTATTTGTATCATCATCACATAACTATGGTTAAATCAAAGAGTCAGTTCAGTTGTACTTGTAATTTGGGTGCAAAGGATTACAACCATACAGTGGGTCAAGGATAGCTCGATAATAAAAGGACATCCAACTTGTGCTATTATAACGACTAAAACAATCAGATATGGGACACCCCTACGTTAGCAGCCCATTTATTTTTTAATTTCGTGACAAAATATAACTAACTGCACTTTTTGTTATCAGAAATGCCCCATAGACATGTAAAAATATTCATACATATTATTAACTGCCCAACAACAGTGAGTTATTCTGTGGAATGTCGAGTAAAATCCATATTCAAATGATGACGACTTTTGATGAAATAGTCAAATATATTAACAAAGTTTCACTTTTTTCCCAGGCATTAACGTAATTTGATTTATCAAATTACACAATGCTAACCCCTCAGTTGTTGAGCTGTTAGATTTGAGAAACGTACAAAATTTAGGGTTGTTATAAATTTTTTGTAAATAAAAAATTTATTACTGGTCATTCCTGATATTTACAACCTGGGAAAATACGTATTCAGAAATGATCAGCAAGTTCGAAAACTTGAGTGAAATGCTATCTTTTTTAGTTCTGATCCAACAACATATGTGATAAGTTGAAAACATGGGAAGACGTCGCATGTAATTAAAGTCAAGAAGTATATTACATGCCCTTAATCTTATCGTTTGTCTATCCTTGGTTAGCTCCTATCTATGGTACAAACTTTCAGCGAGGCTACATTAAAAAAATATGATATAGATAATGGGTAACACTTTTCTGGGATGTATTATGAAATCAATAATTGCTTATAGTGATTGAAAAACGCTAATTACATGAACACAGAATCTACCAAGTCTTATGACAGACAATAATAACACTGTACTTATCAGCAGTTCTTAAAAATGATAAGGTAGGTATAGTGTATAGGTGACTTAAAACATAGATAAAAAGTATATGATGTTATATAGCATTTTATAGAAATGTTTTCATTTCATATATTCTCTTGAACTCACATAAAGTTTATCTTTTGTATCATATTGAGAAACCTGTGTTGATAGGAGGTTTGTATTGAGTTAGAAGTAAATAGATTTACGTGTCATGCCCCGATCCTTATATATGTATGTGTATATTTGATATAAAGACGAAAACGAAAATATTGTTTTAGAGCAATATGCATACTTAATTCAAAACGGAAGTAGCTTCTAGACATTTAACAGTGCTTAGCTCCTTTTCATATTTATCGAAACAGTTGGTTGCTCGAGAAAACAACTCGTTATATCTTTATATGTATATTAGGTCCCTCCATATGTATATATTTCTAAGGTAATCCAAAATATTAAAAAATGGTACCTCCTTTAGGTGTTTCAAAATTTCATTTGTACATGTACATGGATAAAATTCTGTCATACAGCGGTATGTGTTCTGAATACTCCAGCTGCCATTCCATTCTTTCACTTGAGGAATATTTTTAGGGTACTGAATGCGATCCCATATGGAAGAAGTTGGGTAACAAAGAGATAAAATTTAGAGATTAAATTTTAGAAACTGCAATATTTTTATCAATTCTTAATTTATACGCTATTATCAATTCTTAATTTATACACCAATATCCATTCAGAAAAATATTATATTCTTATTTTAAATAATATTTTCCCATGCTGCACCGGAGTTCATCATTTGTTGTACTTGCACTTGGTCGTAATTTATACAAATTGCCGAAATTTCTATACGCACAAGCTATTATGCTGGCACATGGTTTTGCGAAGACAGAAACAATCTACGACTTAACTCCTGAGGCAATACGTAGAGCATTTACCTGGTATTATAATGACCTTATTATATAATCTGAAGGCGTTCATAGACTATAAAATATCCGTTAACAAATGATGGACGAATAGTGATGCATGCGATCCCCTAGTCGGCATTGATTGCAATCCAATAATTTTATTTAAATAACTGTCCATACTACGATCAGGAATAAGAAAGAGAGAAAAATTGGGTGAATTCAGGCAATAAAAGCCCTTTAGTGCTCAATCTCAACACCAATATGATATATATGTATATATATATATATATATATATATATACAAACCATACGGGAAAGGGAGCACAGTAGAATTGGCTGAATTCTCAGTACATTATAAGTCTCCGTGGAAACCAAATTTGATGATGGACAGTTATCGTCGCCAAAGTTCAACAACATAGGTGTCGGTCGTATAAACTCTGTATATGTTTTGGCAAAAATGAATTATTCCTTTGACCTGTCAAACATGTGACATGTAGCCTGGCATAAACGAGCCATACATAACAATATAAATTGTAATTTCGGTATATGCATTGATACATGTTATCTCTAGTTTTACTGAATACATGCCCGAAGTTTGTGTTTGTGCTGTATATAAAGAAAGGGATGTATCTGAAATACTTTGAAATTTAACAGATACATATATTCCTTAACTCTATTGACTCTCCATCTCTTGAAAAGTCTGTATTGAACTTCGTGCCCATGAAGGCTTAATCAGATCATTATTGTACAACATACCGTAAATTTAGCCAAATCCATTGTATCCCTTACCTTATATTTTGTGTGGTATTCTTTAATTCGCCAGTGTCGATCTGACAGCAAATTTGATTGGATATCAAATTGCCACTGACATTAAGCGCTGCACTGCTTTGCTTTCCTGAATTCACCTACTGTTTCCAATTCCTAGTAACTCTGGAAACCTAAATCAATTACAACCTTCTACCAACACAACGTATAATAATTATTCACTCTCACTCATAAGAAGGCTCATGGAAAATAGGTCGAATACGTGAACGATCTGATAATCATCTCGATCCTTAAATCTTCACAGGAACGCTTTTCTCCGTCCAATTTATTAAGGATCAATTCGAATTTCAAAGCAATAATGAATACTCTAACTCTCGTAATGCGTTTGGATAGGTGCAATAAAATGGTTAGAAAGTATGCGTGAGCCAGGTGCAATTTGTTGAGTCTTTCGGACATTTTATAATCGATTATTTTGTTGTACTTATATCTTTAGCGGGGTTGCATAACTGTAACCTCATTGTTTAGCCGTATGATTTTCTTAAAAAAGAACTTTCAAATAGGAACCAAAACCATTTATTTTAACGTTTGTAATTTTAGCAATAATACTGTAATTTTTCCTGTTTGAAAGTTTTTATGCGCACAATGTTTCTGTTGATGAAGAAGGTCAATATTTTAAAAGGTAGCTATATACCTTAACGTAATAACATTTTTTAGAAGTAAAATATGTGTCATATTATATATATTTAATTTTATTGTTATACCTTTTTTACATAGTATTTTGAGATGAGTGGGTTTTCTTCAGATGTTTTGAGATTATGGTATGTATTATTGTGCACAAATTAATAAATATATCTTATAAGTGTTTATACATTGTCTTATTTACCGTATAGTCTAATCTTATTAGCAAATTTCCCCGAAATAATTGTAAAGTCTGGTTTTATTGGTGCAAGTTGTTCAAGGGGGTATTTAAAACATGGACGCATAAAGTGGGTACACCAATTTTTGTGGGAAAACTTTCGACAACAAAGAATGAGAAAACGCGTTTTTTTGGGATTCAATCGAAAGTGTTAACAGGAACAAAAAAACTTTTTACATAAGATTCTAGATAAGAACCTGTGCATTTAAGGTGAATATACTTTAAAGCTTTACGTTGAATGGTCTCAAGGATCACGACAGAATTTTGGTATATAGGAGAAAAGATCAGAGTCGCATACTCCAACTTGCTCCTGACAAAAGTAAAAAATAAAGTCATTAATGTATCAACATTGGAGAAACCCTTCCAGTTTCTGATACAGAAACCAAGTAGTCGAGTGGCAGCCGACGACATATTGAGTATATGCTCAGTAAACGTTAGCTTGGTATCAAAAGTGACTCCAAGGTCTCTATAAGATGTGCATCTGTCTATAACCTGACCATTGATGTTATAATTATCATAAATTAAATAGTTAACCTTTCTTGTATAAGTCATAACTTTACATTTCGAAACATTCAGACTGGGACAGTTTCGTGAACACCATGACCAAATTAGAGCTAAGTCATCTTGCAACATGACGCAATCCTCTACTGTCTTGACTGACGTGCAGATTTTAAGGTCATCCGCGAAAAACAAATGGAAACACTTCAGTTCAAAAGACAAGTCATTAGTAAATATCAAAAACAATAATGGACCTAGATTTGACCCTTGAGGTACCCCGGACGTGGCCCGATAGTAACTCGACCTATGACCACCATATTCGACAAATAACCTTCTATCCCTCAAATATGAATTCATGGGCGACAGCATTGCATCAGACATACCCACTGTTTTAAGCTTATCTTACTTACATATCGGCCATTGTGAATTTCATACACAGGTATATGTGATATAGGGCTATTGAATTACTTCCGCAGCAAATTTTATTGTGATTATCGTGCAAAGTAGTTACCCAATTTGTACGGGCTTCGCATTTGATTAATATTTTAATAATGATCAAAAGTATGTTTAGATTTTTAAGATGAAAAACTGAACTTATCTACGTTAAATCTTCCACAAATCCTATATTTAGACACGATTACACTAACGTTTATCACTACAATCCTTAGATCACAAGCCTCGCCCTTTTAGCGAAGTTGAGAATCGCCTTGAGTCCAAGCTCCTTGACGTCCTGAGGGTCCAAAGTAATGGACCCCAGTATAGTCTGCCTATAGTAGCTCGGAGCTTCACAGCGACACAAAACGTGCGCCGAGGTCTCTTCCTCTACCCACAGGTTAAATCATCAGGAAAGATATTGTAAGAACTATGGCAGGATTTTGGAGACGGTAAGAAAGAAGCTCTTGATTTCAGTTATCTCAGATTTTACAAACACCTCGTTTCATCATCATCATCATACCAGTAATCTAATTACAGAAAAGTAAACAAAAAATGGATAGCTGTGCTAGTGAATTGTTATCCGATATTAAATAAATTGACGTCGTTCCAAATTTAATATGGCTGCCGTCGCAAAATAGCGATTTACATGCTTCATCGTCACCTCTACAATGTGGGTATCAAATGAAAAAGGGATTGATGAGAGTAACACAGTAAGCTAAGTGTCGTCATTCTAAACCCAATATGGCGGCGGCCGCAGAATGGCGATTTATAATTCCCTATATGGGTATCAAATGAAAAGGCGTGATGAGAGAAACACGATAAGCAAATACCGTCATTTTCAATTCCATATGGCGATCGCCGCAAAATATCTATTTATTATTATTTGATTTATATCTGTAGAAATTTTATAATACAAATAAAGTAAGAAATGTTTATGGACTCCTATTAATAAAGGGTGTAGCACGCTTTCTGTTGAAAACTTAAGGAAACGTTTGGTTCATTTTATGAACAGCTAAATAAAAGCTTGTTTTTAGAAATCTGTTCTTTTATTTTATTTATCTGTCTCCTAGACCTATACCTGCTGACGATTGCTAAAATGCATGTATACGGTTGGTCGTGACACGTAGGCGAAAAGCAAACAGGATCCCTGTTCAGCTTGTATATTTTGCTTTGCATTAAGCATAACGTATTGTAGCGTTTTTCTGGCTTCGTTTGGGTGTGGATTAAAACACTTTATTCCACAACAAGAATTGCACTAATTTATTTATCTTGACTAGATAGAACATTTATGAACACCACTATTTATGTCTGACTACTTATTTACGAATTATTATGCCGCGCCATTCACTGAACTATACTCTACACGGCTTCCCTCTTCCGACCGTCGAGTTATATAGTCCGCATCGCAAGGACTCATTGATTCGAGAAGATTCCGGTGAGCCACATAGCGGCAGTCCAGAATCTTCGAGGTCACTTCGCGTCAATCTCTAAGAAAAATTCTTGGCATGGTCCTCAACAAATGTCGCCAGCATCGACGGAGAGTCTCACGGACCTCAACAGATGTCGCCACCGAATGAGAGTCCGGCGCGGTCCCCAACAGATGGCGCCAACATTCTTGTTACACTGCCCCTCCCTAAAGTCATTCCGTCACGGCATGATCTTACTGGTGGTGGATGTCGATATCGGCACGACTGTCCTTTCTTGCAGTAAGAGTTCTTGAAGAAGTAACAATCCACACTCTTTCCAGGAGGTAGCCGCCTAGGACTGTGATAACATACCAGTCCACCTGCCAGCTTAGTATTGCCAGTTTTCTCAGGTCCTCGGCGAGCATCACTTCTCTAAGAGAACACAAAGCGTTCCAGCCATCCTCGTAATTCGTTTTCTGACACGAAGCTTTCTTGGTAACCAGATAGAAGATCTTTCAGTTATCTGAAGTACTTCTCCGACTTCCGGGTTAGATTGTCGCAGCTCGTGCATTCTTCCAAACTTCCTGAGAATGACCTTTGCTATACCCCTCGACATTTGCAAGTCTTGAGCCACACAGTGTACCAGGGCACACTCTGGTGAAGTGATAAACAGATCTTGCTGTACTTCACATGTCACACCATACCGACTCTTATTGCCATTAGCATGGTGGGCCATAAATTGTCATGTCCAGTTCTAGTAGGATTTGCCGCACCGCCGCATCTTCGTTGTTTCCATGATAAGAGGCAAGTCGGTTAAAATGTACAATTCGGGCTTTACTGCGTGGTGCCTGTAGAGAGAACATCGTTGATGGCCTCCATAACTTTATATGGCCCGTCCCAGGATGATTGAAGTTTAGGCGACAGCCCTTTTCACCTCTTTGGGTCGTAAAGCTACACCGTTGTCATACCTCTGGTCTTTGACATTAACGTCATAAGCTTCCTTCATCCGGTCGCTGGCACCTTGAATTGAAACACGAACCTGGCTATGGATGGCGTTCCATTCCTCTACGCAGCTCACTTACGTAGTCTTCTCCGGCAATATCAGTTCCTGGTGGACAGCCAAACTTTAGATCGCATGGGAGACGAAGTTCTCTTCCCATAACTGTTCGGGCCAGGGTCTCTCCTGTACTTTCATGAATTGACGATCGGTAAGCCAATAAGAAAAGGTGAAGGAAACTAGCCCAGTCTCTTTGATGGCTAGAGACTACCTTAGCCAAATACCGGTTAGTGGTCCGATTCATGCGCTCCACCATTCCATCTGTAAGGCTGTAGTCCTGGTCTTCTTAATCCCAAGGATTTGACAGATTGTTTGGAACAGATTTGACTCGAAATTGCACCCTTGGACCGAATGCAACTCCAAAGGTACACTAAATCGGCAGATCCATTCCTTGACTAAAGCATCGGCTGCCGTAAAGGCTTCCTAATTTGGGAGAGCGTATGCCTCAACTTGCTGAAGTAATCCATTATCACAATGATGTATTTATTCCCTGCTTCACTTTCTGGCGTATCGAAGTTTTTGGTTTCCTTTGCGGTCTATTACTTGCCATACACAATACGCATTTTCTGAACCAGTCTTTTACGTCCTCCTTGCTATTGACCCAGTAAAATCTTTCTCTCAGTTTTCCCAGGGTGTTTGTAACTCCAAGATGACCTCCTGACACACCGGAATGGATTTCTTCTAGCAGCTCCGGGATCCGACATCTGAGGATAACGATTTGTCTTCTTTCGTTTTTGTCGTCATGGTCCACTATCTTACGCGGTAGGAGTCCGTCGTCCATAACTCGTTGATAACTATAGAGAATTCCATTGTGCCCAATATGATTTTATGGTAGGGGAATACTTGGCAACCTCTTCCCAGGCTGGTTTCCGTTTTTCTTTCATCCAGTTCAGAATTATTTGGAGATCGCAGTCGCCCTCTTGGTCTTTAATGAGGTCTTCATCAGTATCACTAACGATAGTGGTTCTTAATACTTTGGCGTCTTTCTCCTCTGCCCGCTGGCAATGCTCACAATCTAAACAGGGTCCCTCGATAAGACATCTGCAGTTCCATGGATTTTTCCCGCTCGATGTTCGATGTCGAAGCCAAACTCTTGCAGCCTCTCTATCCATCTTGCAGCTTGACCCTCTGGATTCTTAAACTGGAGAAGCCATTTTAAAGCTGCGTGATCGGTCAGGAGTAAGAATTTTCTGTCATAGAGATATTTGTAGAAATGTCCCATTGCCTTTACGATGGCCAGCAATTCCCTCCGGGTAACGCAATAGTTACGCTCTGGTTTGGACAGTGTTTTGCTAAAATAATCAATGACCTTTTCTACTTTACCTTCCTGAACTTGAGATAATACAGCACCTATGCCCACATTGCTAGCATGAGTGTCTAACACAAACTTTCCTTCTGTCAGTGGATAGCTGAGTATAGGGGCGCTTGTTAAAGCTTCTTTCAAGTGGGTAAAAGCTCGTTGTTAATCCTGATCCCATTGGACAATGTCTTTGCGATGTTAGTTAATCCTTCCACGTAACGTCGGTAATATGTACACAATCCGAGGAAGCTGCGTAGCTCACGTTTGTCCTTTGGAATTGGCAATTGTTTTACAGTCTGTATTTTCTCCCTGACTGGAAACAACATGGTCAAGATGGCATGTGGCTTTTCTTTGGGCTTAATTTCAAGCCAGGACCTCGTAGCCTTAAGAAAACTTCCTCTAGGTTCTTCATGTAGTCCCCAAATGATTTTCCCACCACGAGAATGTCATCAAGGTAAACCAGGCACGTTTTCCATGATAGTCCTCTTAGAATCGTCTCCATCAGCCTTTCAAAGGTAGCAGGGGTATTGCACAGGCCGAATAGCATCACATTGAACTGCCATAATCCCGTGCCCACCGTGAATGCTGTCTTCTCCCGATCTTGGAGGATGGAAAACATTTTTGATCCAGTCAGGGAATAAAGAGTGTCATCAATACGCGTTAGACCAGAGTTCCCCAAACTTTTTTGTGTCGTAGACCCCTTGCCATGTTTTTCCGTGTTGGGTAGACCCCCTACTTACCTGATATTGATTTCCTGTAAATATCTAACTGTGGTGAAGTTTAGTGTTAAAAACTTAAAGTAGAAACACATGTTAATTTATGCATTTATTAATTGAATTTAAATTAAAACTACTCCAAATAAAATTTTGTATCTGTTATATAAAATATACGTAACATTAAATAAACAGGTGTCTGACCAATAAGTGCCCGCTTTGGAATAAGTGCCCGCATTGAAAAAAAATAAGAGGGATAAAATAAAACGAAGTGAAAAATAATTAAAAAAAGTGTTTTACTTAAAATAGTACATTAAGCGAGTTCGTTTATTAATTATAACATAAACGTATGTTCTACAATAATTTCACTGTTACTTTGATTAAATTCCGCTTCTTCTACGTTTAAGTTATCTAAAAATAGGCAAAAAATTAACGAATTTTAGTGTGTACCTATCCTTGAATTTTCAGAATAATTTAAATAAAATATTTTCTATAAAGGGGGGTCCTTTAAAAAAATCAATGAGGGCACTTATTCCCAATGCGGGCATTTATTGGTCAGACACCAATAAACATAAAATAAACTATAAATAAAATAACATAAGCAATAAGTCAATATTTTTAGTGAGAAAGATGAACCTGATGCTTTAATAATAAATTATCAACATTTGGCGTCAATTTTGTAAGGGTTAATCTTAAATCTCCTCAGCTAGTGATGTCCAGTCTGTTTCTTTTTTTCGTTAGGAGATTGGTAACAGCGCTGAACCCCCTTTCCACTAGGTATGAGGATGGAAAGGAAATTAAAAATTTCCTCGCTATATTCCATAATACGGGATAAGTAACGGGTATGTTGTTTTGCAGCCAGAATTGCTGATATCCGTTTTTAAACTGAACCTTAAGTTCTTCGTTTGTACTTAGTTCAGTCAGTTCCTCTTCTATTATGACATTCGTTTCTTCTATGTCACCATATGGATTAATTATCCACGGTGGTATTACCATAGTCAAAATATGCTCAAACCTAAATTCAAAATCTGAATAGAGGGCATTTAAATGTTGAACGTAAGTTGAAACGTCGTCTTCCTGGCAGCTTGTCTGTGACAAATTGGGGAACTGAGAAAATTCGCCCCGTCCAATATTTTGCTTCATTAGTTTAACTCTGGCAAGAAACACTGATAAGATGGACTTTGTTTTAATAAAATTTAAACTGTCGTCTTGTAATTGCAAATTAACCATATTAAATTTTGTAAACAAATCTGTTAAATAGGTGATGTCTGTTTTCCTCTTCATTAAATTTTCTTTTAAAATTTTATCTTTAGTATCCAGAAATTCTAAAATAGTCTCAAAAAGTGCAAAAAATCTTGTCAAACATAAGCCTTTCGACAGCCAGCGTACTTCAGTGTGAAGGAGTAATTGATGAAAGTGTTCGTCATTTTCTTCACACAACTGCGCAAATAACCGCGTATTCAACGCGTTGCTTCGGATTCGGTGTACTGCATCAATGACTAAATGAAGTGATTCATGCAATCTAACACTCAAATTTTTCGAAACTAAATTTTGTCGATGGATGACGCAATGTATTGCTAACACCCCTGACACATTTTGTTTTAAATAGCTTATAAATCCACGATAACGTCCAACCATGGCAGGTGCTCTATCTGTAGCTACTGATATTATATTTGATAAAGGAATTGCTTTTTCAATGAAGTAATCCTTCAAAACATGAAATATTGATTCACCTTTAGTATCGGTTATCACAGTTCTTGCGAAGAGCAGTTCTTCGTAGATTTCTTGATTCATAATAAAACGAACATATGCCAATAATAATGCTGCATTATCAGGTAAAGTTGACTCGTCCAGTTGTATAGAGAAATGGGTCGTTTGCAAATAATTACATAATAAGCTTTCAATATCAGAACTCATTTCATCGATACGTCTTTCAACAGTATTGTTGCTTAAGGGAATTCTTTTAATGATATCAGATGCAGGTTTGTGTAAAACAGTTTTTAAAACCTCTTCAACGGCTGGCAAAATTAACTTCTCTCCGATAGTATGCGGTTTTCCGGATTTTGCTATAAGTAAAGAGATATTGTAAGACGCCCGCAAACCATCATCGTTTCTTTGTGACGTCGAAGCGAACATTCTGTCCAGTG